ACTTGATGGAGGGAGTGACATTTAGAGTTCTCTTTCACAGTGAGAAATAAGTATTTGGCAGCCGTAACCGTGCTTCAGATGATCGTGCCAACTGTTCCGGATAAACTCCTCCTGAAGCACGAGTTGCAGGCTCATGCCAGTCCAGCAGCCATGTTGACTTTGGAGGTGGACAAGAGAGAAAGGCAGAGACAGACATTGAGGCCACTGGCTTTGCTGTCTGTTGAACATTGGAGGTTTACTTTGGTCTGTGACCAGTGCCTCTTGCAGCCCACTAATTGAAGGCTAACGGATAACTGCAACAATAGCTTCCTGACTGCACTGATGTTCAAAGTTGTACTGTCATCTATTTCAAGAATAGTTTTTCTGTTCTCACCTCAGAAAACTTTGTATACTGCTGAGTGGTACTGATGTTTTATAAGTTAAAGGGATATACCGGCATAAAATTAAGTTCGGGTCAAACTCACCGTAACACTGAGTTCGACACCCCCTCGACAGATACATGTTGCCTAATGCTTGTTATATCAACTTTAGTAACAACCACACCATAGTAAAACACAGCGATCTACGTCTCCACTTCCAAACCTCAACCAAAACGCCACTCTATAGCCACAAATAATGCTCAGAACAGCACCTAACTTCATCAACAGTACATATGGGGTCCCAGCCATAGTACTAGACGCCAAACATCTTTTTAACTTTGCCTAATTTCTTTAGCAAAGAGACCAAACAAAACTCACCTACTCTCTTCCAGCAGCCGCTTGTTTGTGGGGGAGCCCTGACGAGGCGATCACTGAGTGCAGCAGATCGTTTCCTTAAAGTAATATTAATCATTTTGCACTGCAGACGCAGTAGTTCTTCTGCCTTAGCATCTTGGACTGATTGCATTTCCATGAAGAAATGATCATCAATGTTCTTCCTTGAGCTGTGAAACTCTGCTGCACTTGGTAATCGACTCTTACGGTTGATGAAGTTTAGTGCTGTTCTGAGCATTATATGTGGCTATAGAGTGGGTTTGCGTGTGGCTCCATAGACCGCTGTGTATTGCTATCCTGCAGTCGTTACTAAAGTTGGTATTACTACAGAAACAAGCGGTCGGCAACATTTATCTCGTGGGGGTGTCTAACTTGTTATGGTGTGATTGACCATAAATTAATTTTACACCGGAATATCCCTTTAAGTCTCTGTCTCTGTTTGAACATGACCATGGGAAAAATAATCAAATCTTGATTAAATTTAAGGTTAAAACAAGAGGTAGTCTTCATTTTTGGTAACTATTATTCAAAATTTAGTGTTTTCCCTTTACCTTATGACATTTTCTCCTCAAACTGCTGCTCAAGTATTCACCAGATTGCAGGGAATTAAGTGTCAGATGCTCAAAACTTCCTGGGGGAGAAACCCCCCGTCTTATCACTAATGCCTCAATATGTTTAAAAGACAGCTGTGGGTATCATAGGTTGGAAAAGCAGTCCAAGTCTGAGGCCTCCAGGGTACCTTCTGTACAGGTTATCCACTTCACTTTTCCAGACTAGAACTGAGCCTGTGCAAAGATCTCATGCTTACAAAGTCAAGGAGAGACAGAAAACGGAAGATCTTACAAAATGGTCTTTAAAATGCTGCTCGAGGCAGATCTTCATTAATCACGACTCTCTGTTTTCTCCATGGCGTACAGCAGGTGCCCTTTCATTACTTTCTCCCCGACCTATCAAACAGCCTGAGAATACTCCTGTGTTTTATGGTTCCTCTCTGTCCAATATTTCAGGCACACTCTCACTTCACTTGACTCATACTGTGTGGAGGTTTAATCTGGCTTTCACCTACGGTTCAATAATACACGAAAAAAATCCTTCAAATGGAGATCTCTCATGCAAGTGTGGTTGAGAAGTATTAGGAGACAGTGGACAGGAAAAGAGGCCAAAGCAGAAGAAGGAAGCACAGCAGAGAACAATGAGTGTTGTTTCGTTTGCTTCCGCCATCCTTCCGTCATTATCTGCGGGCAGAGCAGCATCGAAACAGCCTTCAGGGGGGAAACAGAGTCAAAGCAGTGGGAGTCAAAGTTAAAGTATTCAAACAATGTTTAGCACGGGGGGGGGAATAAGGTCCCTCAGCTGTCCCTGCAGTCCTGGTCTGCTCCGATCTACAACAGTGAAGCCAGTGCCCCCTCGCTGTACTGATCTGCTCTATATCAGGATCCCCGCTGTTTGAACTGATGGCGAAAGTAATTAAATGTTGGGTGCTGTGGCCCGGGGCAGGAGAGAGGGCTGCTGTGCAGAGATACTGGTGACAGATTTGCATTTCCCTAATGTTAGTAGCCAGTGCATGACAGAGATAAAAACTGTGGAGATCCGACTCAGTGCATTTAGAAGCACATGACTCTGCAGTTCTACTTTAGAAAACCCAGAAAGAAGAATGAGTGAAGTCGTGCTGACACCACATGAAAGTAAAACACTTTCACAGACTGTGTCAATTTGTGCTGTTTGCTGGTCCTCATTTGACCGCCTCTCTCTGACTCTGCAGCAGCTAGCTTTGGCGCAGTCTGTGCAGCTAATCTAGTATCGCAGTCAAGACAGGGTCACTCGAGGTCACACATCAATCAGACTTACAGACATCCGTAATAATAATAATAATAAATCTAGTACTCAAAGTCTTCTCGTAATCTTCCATCTGTGTTGAACTTTGCTAACCATATAGCCACTTTCTGGTTCCTTTTGTTGAAGTGTTGACCAATCACAACTCTTCACAAAGTGGAGGCTCTGTTATAACTGTGCATTAGTATGACCTCAGTGTTTGTGCAGCGAGGTAGAAATCCCCCTTTCTTAACAATGGTTTTCTAACAGCTCAGCACCTGAAATAACAAGTAGAACAATGTTAATTTAATGAAAACATTATAAAATGTCTTTGCTTATTTGAATTGCGTTGCAGCAGGTTAATGCAGGGGGAAATAAGTGTTTTGATCAATTCATTTATAAAGATGTATTTGGCTCAGACGGCCCAAAGAAACCCCCTGAAGGAACTGATACGGATGCTCAGTCCTGATTTATAAACATTCATCTAGATTTCCACCTCCCATGCTACCTGTAATAACTGAATTAAATCAGCAATGTCATTCTATATTCTGGGAAGCATTAGCTGTGTTTACATGGGCACAAATAATCTGAATAAATGCCCGATCAGAATAAAAATGTGCCATGTTAACATATTGATCGAAAGATTCTGATCCAATTCGGCTTAATCGGAAAGAAATTGTATTCCGATCGAGAGGAGTGGTTTATGCTGATTGTTATTCCGAAAAGCGGCCGTGTAAACACTTAATACGATCGTGACTCTTTTACCTGACTCTGTCTTCACTCTTTAGCCTTTGGCTTATTTATTGAGGTCAGTACAGGAGGTTTCATTATTAACACTGGCATAAAATCGTTTCTGCTCCTCCGGTAACATAACAAGGCATACATACAGCATAATGATGTCACATCGGCACACACAGAGCAACCTTTGACAGAACAGTAAAATAAGTGAGCAAGGGCGCCATCTAGTGACAACATTTAACAGGGGGAAAACTCCTGAATTGGATGGAGTGAGCCACTACCCTGTTTGTTGGTTTGTTGACAGCACAGGCGTGAATCTCTGCGCATGTCCAAATGCCTCTTATCTGAATAAAGCTTGGTGCAAACGCACGTCATGATTTTGTGCCTATATAAAGAGTGGATTCAGATGATCTGATTCCTTTAAATTTTTAATTGGATCAAGAAATTTTGCACATGTAAACATGTTTATAGTTACTTCCTTGAACTTTCTGTAGAAACACCTGTTAGCTAGAGGTAGACTGTGTTTGAATATTCACATGCTGATGATGACCTCTGCTGCCCTCCTGAAGTTTTCCACTGATCCACTGACTGCACTTCCCATCATCACTTGGGCTAAAACAGAAGCCTGCGGTGCATTAAAATTGCAATGTGAAGCAGATGTGGTCACTAAAGGCCAGTGACTTTTTTTTTTTCTCAGGGAAGTGGATGTGTAACAGGAGACGTGAGGATGTGACCTGCTTTGACTGCTCAAAGTTCCCAATTTGACCTTAAGGATTGTGTTTGATGAGGCATTTTCAACTTCAGTGAGACTCTGAAAACTCAGCCAGACTCACTGACTGGAAGGCATTTTTCAAATTCATTTGGTTTTGCAACAGCTCCACAGCTGAGGAGACGCCCATTTTCGCAAGTTTACACATTTGGTCATGTTATTTTGCGCATTTGTCTTATAGGGGGTGTGGAAGATTGCTTTTAAAAAGTCCTGGATGCATAACTGCCTGTTTACTACATTTTTTAAAGGCACGGCACAGTGGTTGTGTTCTGCTAAAGGGTTAAGGAGTTCAGGTTCCCATGGCAATGATGGGAATTAAGAAAACTGACGGGAAGTGAACCACCGCCAGGCCCAGAAAAGTGAGGTTTGGTGGTGGGACAATAAAACGAGAGTGGTGATACACGCTGCAGCTACAGGCAGGCTCTGTGATGATGAAGTTTACTTCACAGCCTTTTACGGCCCTCAGGCCTCGTCTCAGAGCATACACAGTCATTAACCTCTTATATAGGTCTCCTGGAAGCAGAAAAACTTTTAACCACAGTCAGGGATTAGGTCTGATTTTCAGTGTAGGATTAAGGGATTCTTTTTAAGACTACAAACTTCCTCACTCTTGAGCACAAATATTTATTGCTGCCTTTAAACTCTCCTGTAAGCTGCAGAAGAGAAAGGAACACAGTTGTAGACTGTCCCATGTGCTTTCCCCTTCATTATCTAATGCCCAGAGAGACAGAAACTCCCACTCTTGAATCAAATAAGGGGCCTGAGCACCCTCTTGTGAAACAATTTTGCAGCACAAAACTGTGCTGACCATTACAACAGCTGCAAACTCTATGTTCAGTTTTGATTGTGCATTTTATTGAGAGTGTTTGTTTTAACAGAGTAATCTTATGTTTACTTGTAGCTGGCAGGCCTAGGGTGGGACAGAGAACATGGCTGAACCACGGCGGGAGAGTACCAGCAGCCTGCAGAGGAAGAAACCTCCCTGGCTCCGACTGGACATTCCTACAGCTCAGATGTCACTGGATGAGCCCCCCACGTTTGTCCAGGTTTCTTTCTTTCTTTTTATTTTTTTAAGTCCCGATACATATTACCATTCTTAATTTTTGTCACTTTTCTCATGTTTGCATGCACCTCATGTTTTTCTTCTGCATCATTTCTAGCCGGTGAAGAGGCAGGGGTTCCTGCGCAGCATCAGCATGCCAGTGGAGACCTCTCACCTCCAGTCTCCACCCCGTGAATTCTTTGACACCCGGCGGCCCGTCTTACAACGCCAGTCCTCCATCACTCAAACCATAAAAAGGTAAGAGCTTATAAACGTACAAATGAGTTCTTTATGAAGTGCATGAATATCTTGATACCAGGGGGGTTGCACAGTCTTGGAAATTGAATTATGAACAACCATTTTTCAGAAAAAAAAAAAAAACCTGCATATACCCTCTATGTGTTTGCTACGAAAGAGGATTAGAGGCACATGAAGAGAAAAACAAATTACAGGAAGGAGATTAAACTGAAAATTGCGAGATTAAAGTTGAAATTTTGATCCTAAAAAATTGAATAATGTCAATAAAGTTGAAATTTCAAGATTAAAAAAAAAAACATTTTGACACTGATATTAAAAAGATTAAAATTTTGTCATTAAAGTCGAAATTTCGAGATTAAAGTCAACATGAATAAAGTCAAATTTTCGACTTTTGTGAGTTTTGACTTAAATCTCGAAATTTTGACTTTTATTAATTATTTAATTAATTTAATTTATTTTATTATTTTGACTAAAATTAAAAAACTCTCACTCCTGTAATTATTTTTTTCTCTTCTTGTGGCCTGAATCCTCTTTTGTAAGTTTGCAGATTGGAATTGGTGTTTCTTTTGTACTTCTGAGGTAAATTGAGGATGTAGGCAGCCTGTGTCCCCCTTCCTTCTTACCGTTTTCTGTAACTGCATGGCTATTTCTGATCAAAAATCTTGACTTCAGTGGAATAATTCTCCTAACATTGTAAATCTGAAACAACTTAACCTAACCATCTGCCTCGCTCTTTCTGCATGATATCTACAGCACTGTCCAGCTTCTCTTCCTTCTCACTGCCTCTTGTTATCTCTTCTCTTTTCTTCTCCCTCCTTCTACTCCCTCTCGCCACTTTCCCTCCTTCCCGCCTGCCCCGTCCTGTTCTGCCTGGTCACAGCAGCAGAAGGGTGCACTTTGAGCGGATTAACACAGTGCCCATTAAGGGGCAGCGAGCTGCTCGCCGCAGCACCAGGAAACACCACTCGCTCTCCAGAACTCTGCTCAGGTACGACTGGATGCACCATGTTAACAGTCACATGCCCATGCTTCCTCACAATCCAGGTCTCTATTGACTAATACACATTGTTACATTTGAGACCCAAACCACATGATTCAAGAGAATTCAAGAGTTCCTCAGTAGGTCAGCAGCTGTGAGTCATGTCATGGATGCAAACATTTCTTTCACAATGAGTCATGAGTGATCCTGAAACCAAACGACTGTTGTTTTCCTGTAACAAAGTCCCCTCCTTTTAGGGTTACAGTAATCACCCAGCTGGCTAAAAGAGAAGTCACACATCCCCCTCACATCTGTCAAAGAGCAAACACGACAAGACGCTGTTCAGTCATGTCACTAACATGTATTTTGAGAGGAGATTTTCATGCCGGTGTGACTTGATCTAGTGAGAAAAAGCAGAGTTTGAATGAACATTCAGTCTGCACCTGGTAATTAGAGGAGAAACAGCCTGAATTCTCCTTTGAAGAATGTTTCCACTTCGACTTCCTGCCCTTGGGGCGCAGTAACATTGTTTGCTCTGGTACTTATTAGGCTTTAACTTCAACAGCGGGATTGCATAAATGTTCATCACGGTTGGGTGAGATTGGATAAGCAGAGTTGAAAAATGTGCCTCCTCGCCTTTTTTGATTGGATTTGCTGTCTGTTTGTGTCAGTTTAGATAAGTACGACCTGAAAATTGGATTTAGTTTGCAACACCAGAACTTAAATAGTTCCTCTTTTGCTTGACTTGAATTTGAATGTGTGGATTTAGGGCGAGTTTTTGACTCTCCACAAAGTATGCCATTTGCATTAGAGTGACCTTTTTGTTGTTGTTGTTGTTGTTTTTTTAAACATCATAATTGGCTTGATTTTTAAACCCCTAGAGGTCGTCACGTAGCAATGTTGTCGAGTCCATGTTTTTTTCTCTCAGAATTTGTCTAATTTACAGGTGCTGCAGTGCTGAAAGGTATTTATGTTATCAACAGATTAAATAGACCTATTTTAAATGTTGAATAAATTGATAATTAGTTACATCTCATTTGTTAACACGCATATCCAGGCACACAGATATATAGATAAGCAGCAAAACATGGAATAAATCAAGCAACCTAACACAAAAGCAGCCCTGTCTACATATACAAAAACACTGCCACCAGTGTGTTTTTAAATATAAGATGTGATTATTTATCATGGAGAGGCGTACCAGCTGAAATAAGGTAAAAGGTTCATAGATAGGCTGTTTACCCTCTACATTTATTATAAGTATAAATGTAGAAATACGTAAAGGCAAAATCAGGCTGTTTCTGCTGAAATTACTGAATTAAACTTAGAATAAGCAAATGAAAAAAATTAAGGAATAGATTAAATAACTGCGCAGGGGAAACTGATTTTACTCTATTACATTTATTGTGTTATTTTGTAACTAATGCAAAACATTGGACTGTGACAGAAGTCCTGTGGTGCTGTAAATGGTAGGGCAGAGATTTTTAGAGCTTGTTTTGAATTTTGGCATTGGGCTTGTTTGGTCACTCAGGCCTGGTAACCCTGTCACTCAGTTTCTTTGACAATAGTTATATACCTTCAAAGAAATTAAATAAAGAAACAGTTGGCCTTTTCACCTGTGGTTTGGTTTAAATTTGCAGGTCATTTAGTGACATTATTGTGCAAAAAAATCCTCACAGCGGCCTATAAAAATACACACTCAGACTTTAATTTACTTCACTGGTCAATAATGTCAAAAGAAAATGCTCACAGTTTTTCTGAAGTATTTTATGATTTAAATTTTTGGAGGCTTTACACAAGATAAATCTTTTTTTTATTATTTTTTTCATTTTACTTTTTTTATTAATTGATTTGCACAATTATACAGGCAGCAAAAACAGCATAAAAACAACAAACCAGATGTGCAGGCAGGAGATTAAAGAAACCTGGAGGGGTTTATAAAGGAAATCAAGGTATAAAAGACCACAACGATAGATAAATCACAAGTATATATTAAATTTTGAAATTATTTTTGGAACTTGAAGATTTACTGTAAGGGATGAAATTCTAAGCAGGTAGGCTATATCTGTTTCACAACCAATCATTGTTAAATTCATCTGGATTACAAAATGCCAGAATAGCTGCTTAAATAAAAGGTCTACTTGGAGTGAAAAGAGTCAAGTTAATGATGTGGTTCACTAAAAGGAGCTTGAACTCTCACATTACCTATTACCTGTCTTTTCTATGTGCTCATAAACATGTCCAGGCTTGTCCCCTCTACTGCCTTCATATCTCATACTATCTAGAGCACTTTTTTACAACCCTGGCAGTGTGGTCTCATCTGTCCCATGCCTTTTTGAAAAGTTCAAACAGATAGCATTCAACTTCTCTGTGAGAAAGGAAGCACGTGTGTTAGTTTTGTGACCCACATCTAAGAGGTTCATGTTTGTGGTGTTAGGGGAACAGCGGATTGGTTTGGGGTCAGCAAGGACGGTGATGCCACCCAGAAATGGCAGAGGAAGAGCCTTCGCCACTGCAGCATGCGTTATGGGAAGCTGAAACCACAAGTGATTCGAGAGATGGATCTACCCAGCCAGGACAACATCTCCTTAACCAGCACGGAGACCCCGCCTCCTCTCTATGTCCCCTCCTCACAGCATGGCATGCAAAAGGTACAGAAATATATTCTTTGTTCTCTGTAGAGTCTTTATTTGTTTTATGCAAAAGGCATGCAGATGGTAGACAATAGGGGTGGGAATCACCGGTGGACCAACGATACAATATGATATTATCACGATATTTGGTCCACGATACGATATTATTGCGATTTTTAACATTTTGCTAAACAGTGAGTATTGCGATACAATACATTGTGATTTATACAATTTTTTCAACTGCTCTATGATGTCACCTCTACCAACCTCACTGGACAAACAGTTGATTTTATTTTTACATCATCATAGATTTGACTTCATATTAACAATTCATTTGAATAAATCAATACTTGGTTAATGAGACGAGACAATATATTACCAGACAAAATATTGTGATACTATGCTGTATTGATCTTTCCTCCCACCCGTAGTAGACAATTTCTTTGAAATCAGAATGAATAGTCAGATTTTTTTTTTAACAGAAACAAATTTATTTAAAGCTCTTATGTGTTAATTTTCCACAGGCACCCCTGTGCATAACATGGTGTCTCTCTCTCTCTCTCTCCCTTTGCAAATTTTGTCCTGTAGCTGAGGCTTTTAAATAAAAAGTCCCTCTTGCTTTGTTTGGACAGTCAACTTTAACATGAATGAGGAATCTTTGCTAAATGATTTAAAAAAAAGTCTGTCTCTGTCATACGCAGTTAAGCACTTAAAATGACACATGCCCCCAGTCAGTAGACCCAAACTCTAACTTTTAAGAGATGCATTCTGAATTTCCAAGGGGACATTTTCATCTCCATTTGCTGAACTCTTTTCTCAAGATTGTGGACCCATTGGCGCGAGGGCGAGCCTTTCGTATGGTGGAGGAGGTGGACGGCTACAGCGTGCCTCAGACCCCCATCACCCCTGGTGCTGCTTCGCTTTGCTCTTTTACCAGCTCCCGCTCAGGTCTCAATCGACTGCCTCGTCGACGTAAGAGGGAATCCGTGGCAAAGATGAGTTTTAGGGCTGCTGCAGCACTAGTTAAGGTTTGTGGAAGGAACTAAATAGATAGAAGTATGTTTGTATGTTTCTTGCAAAAATGAAAAGGAAGAAAATAGCAGTGCAAGAACACGTCAGACAAATGTCCTACTTTACAGTGAAGCCTCCGGTAAAGCAAAGATTAAAGCCATAAGTACACTGAAGTTTACATCAGGGTGTGTTTGTGTGCAAATCTCAGGGGCGCTCATTACGGGAGAGCACTCTTAGACGGGCCCAAAGACGGAGCTTCACCCCAGCCAGCTTCATGGAGGAGGACATGGTCGACTTCCCTGATGAGCTGGACACGTCTTTTTTTGCCAGAGTAAGAAACAGAAGTCATATTTGAATTTACTATGTAAACGTGTGTGTTTACTGTGGATGAATAATTCTGATTATTTTTCATTGAACTGATGAGAATATGATTCTTCTTTTAAGGATATTCTGATGCAGGAGGAGCTGTCCACATACACCGATGAGGTGTTTGAGTCTCCGTCTGAGGCGGCTATGAAAGCAGCAGAGCCCAGCAGCAAAAAAGATGAGACAGAGCTGACAGGCAGTGCCCTAGATAAGACGGAGCTGGAGAAGAGTCATCTCATGCTGTGAGTTTCTGTACCGGTCTTTCAGGCTTTGCTGACACCACACTTTTCAAACTAAATTTAATTAAATCCATGTTCCTGAAAAAATATGTCAGTTTTTTCACCTTTTTCAGTAGCTTATCTATGGATATTGTGGATATTACTGATTTGGTTGGTGTTTTAGCTATATGAAACCCCAAACCTCAAAGCAATCATGGATATAAATAAGGGTTAATGTATAAAAAGCAGGTTAGAAAACCTGAAGGGTTAGCAGGACCAATGGGAAACAGAATATTGATTTAAAAATGATTTATGTAGAACGTCCATAAATTCCACAGTTAATGGTTCCTTAGCAACAGATTCTTCTCCTTTCCTTGTCGGAAAAATGAATTTGAAGCTGAACATTTCAGTTTAAGTCGAGTAAAAACTTTCAGCCTGTTTGTTGCAGCTCACATAAAAGTGACACAAGGTGAAGAGGACTTGAGCAGAAATTTTCAAGTGTGTCTCTCTGTCCTCTCACACACCTTTAGAAATATATCAAGCACAAATTTGGACACTGTTGTAATTATCACAACCATTCTTAAAGTTACTTTGAAGCATTTAGCATCTAAGAGATGCACTCACCAGCTCTGCTGCTGTTGCACTGATTGCAGGACAGGATCCAATATTTGAGCATCCTCAGTGTTGTTTAGCCCATACCAGGAAAAAACAGTGTTTTTGTCACTGTGTCAACATGTAGAAGTGAAATGAGCCTGTCCCCTTCCACCTTGTGTCATGTTGTTTCTGTCACTTTTCCTACTGAGAATAAATCACTGTAGTGGTGTGTTTTTTTTTTTTTTTCACCAATCAGAATGAAGTATCTAACCAGTCAGATAAAAAAAGAGATCTAGGGCTGCTATACTCCTTTACCTCTCCCTTTTCTCTACTCTGTAATCTCCTTCAGACCTCTGGAACGAGGGTGGCGAAAAGCCAAAGAAGGAACTCCGGGACCACCAAAGGTGCCCTTACGTCAGGAGGTGGTGAGTGTAACCGGGCAGCGGCGTGGTCAGCGCATAGTTGTACCTGTCAAGAAGCTGTTTGCCCGAGAAAAAAGGCCTTACGGATTGGGCATGGTTGGGAAGCTCACAAACCGCACCTACCGCAAGCGCATTGACAGCTATGTCAAGAGGCAGATAGAGGACATGGATGACCACAGGTACTGCTTCACTTCACGTGTGGTACTAATGAGTGTCCCTGAGTGGAGGATACATGTTCACTGCTGTTCTTTATAACATCTATTCTGTCTCCTCTAGGCCTTTTTTTACATACTGGATCACATTTGTCCATTTGCTCATCACCATACTGGCTGTATGCATCTATGGTATTGCACCAGTGGGCTTTTCCCAGCATGAGACGGTTGATTCTGTGAGTACCAGCTGAGCTGTGATGAACAAACCCTGATGATATCTTTGTCTATTTCACTCTGCTTCATTTGGACTGCTCTCTTTTTGACTTGATCCAGGTTTTAAGAAACAAAGGTGTGTATGAAAACGTCAAGTTTGTACAACAGGAGAACTTTTGGATCGGGCCGGGTTCGGTGAGCACTCTCTTTCCTCTTTATTGAGATATTACACGTTAAAAAAAGTGTAAAGCTGGCCTAATTTTCTGTATTTGTATTTGCAAAGGAATCTCTGATCCACTTGGGGGCCAAATACTCTCCATGCATGCGGCAGGACAAGCAGGTGCACGATCTTATCAGGGAAAAGAGAGCTGTTGAGCGCAACTCTGCCTGCTGTGTGAGGAACGATCGCTCCGGCTGTGTCCAAACCTCAGAGGAAGAATGCTCGGTCTGTAAACAGCCCCCGTCCTTATTTTTGTTCCATCATCATCATCATCATCATCACATGTTCACAGACAAATAAAGGTGGTGAACATTTCTGACCTCTTTGAATTGTGTTGTTTTTTTTTGTAGAGTACTCTGGCTGTGTGGGTTAAGTGGCCGAAGCATTCCAGCACTCCCAAGTTAAATGGTGAAGACAGACAGTACGGCTCTGTGTGTCACCAGGATCCAAGGTTAGAGACCTCTGGACTTCTTGTACTGCAGAGTATTACTTTTAAATGAACTGATACTGGTTATTAGATGTGATTTTTTAACAGCCAATCTTGTTTGTCCTGCATCAGGATATGTTTAGAGCCGGCCTCAGTATCACCTCATGACTGGCCTGATGACATCACCAAGTGGCCGGTGAGTACTGACCACTTCTGCCTGATATGAACACATCAAACATAAAGAAGGTACTTTGAGAGTAAAGTATACAAATCAGGTTATCTCATAAGCTGTATATACTATGGACAACTTAGATCCACCTTCCATCATTAAAAGAATTTGATGCCAAAAAGCTCTCAGTATTTCCAGGATTTTCTCCACTTACTGGAATCACCACTTATACACATTTACGGGTGAGTTGCTGAGAGTCGTTGTGATGATGCTCGGCTCAAACAGTGTATCCCCCGGGTAAGCTACGCAATCTTCATACGCCCATAGGCTGTATCAAATGTCAATCATAGAAAATATGAACCCCCTAATAACTTTTAAAAATGGAGCTGCACTTAAAAAAGAGGACTTGAGGACAAACCAGTCTTACAGTAACTACATGTTAACAATTCAACCAGGGGGGAGACAAATGTATATTCTGAGTAATCAAAGTCTAAAGTTTATCCACAGCTCCATAAGGATTACTGGAGAAGGCAGGATTATGACCTATACCGCAGCTTGTCACCAGAGGGTGCTGTTCTCACGGTGGCTTTACCCAGCAAGGAGGCAGATGATGTCCATTCTATGTACAGTATATGAATTATCTGAAAGCTAGTTGCGTATTGATTTTCTCAATTTAAGACAACAGAATGCATCCATGTAAATATTTTTACTTGGAGTCTCAAGGCAGATACTTTCTTAAAAACAGGGAGCAGGATTTACAGAATAACTTGCAGTTTTACCTACAAAAAGGACAATTAAGTGATATTTTAAAAAGTTAAATCTCAGGGGATCACTCGCTTATAATCTGACAGTGATGAAACATTTTGAGGATTCGTTGTTTTTGTTCCACTTTATAACTCAGTGAATTTGATTAGTTTGAAGCAGTAATTGTTAGACAAAAATGCGAAACTGCTGTTGCTGTCAGGGTTTGTCTGCAAAACATAAACACAGACAGCCCTGAAGATATTTGTTGATGTTACCAAGAGTTTTGTTCGGTTCATGCAGAGTTTCTTTGTTTTAAAACAGAACTGTAATTTTATGGACTATTATCTTCTTCATAAACTAGATGAACTAGCGATAAAAGCCTGTGTGTGGGAGGTGTTACAAATCTCTAAAATTAGATTTAGTACCTCCAAGGTTCTGGTTCTACCTGGTTTATGGTATACCTGGTCTTTGAACGCAGGAGATAGCCCTAAGTATAGGTATAAATGTATCTCAGTGCATTATAAAGGGAGACAGATCTAATAAGTCAGGAGTCGGTCTGGGACACATCTGTCCACATTAGCCTGGCAGTGTGTGTGCTCATGTGTCCTGGGCCACATTAGAGACCGCCCACTCGTCTCGTATCCACAGCAACTATTACGTCAAGTAGCAGCCCACCCACTTTCTGTATGTGACTGATTTCATATTTGAATACATCTGAGAACGCTTATGATTAATGACTAAAGGTGGAACAATCCTGAGAGAGGGGAGACATGATCAGCATTAAGAGCTTAAACTCATGATCACAGCTTCAAAAACAAAACAAAAAGTAACAAATAAAAACTGCTTTGACTTTTAGATTTGTACCAGGTACAACACAGGGAACCACACCAACCTGCCTCACATAGACTGTACCATCACAGGCCGACCCTGCTGCATTGGAACCAAAGGGAGGTGAGGAGGAGAGCTGGTGAACCCAGAGAGTCCGTACAATAATGTTTTACTTGTTTACTTTTGATTTATGACTGCTGCTCTTTTCTTCAAGGTGTGAAATCACATCTCGGGAGTATTGTGACTTCATGAAGGGCTACTTTCATGAGGAAGCAACTCTCTGCTCTCAAGTAAGCTGCACCTGCACCTTTTTTTCTCATATTTATAGTCTCAAACATTGTTTTCAGTGCTATTATGTGACCAAGGGGAGTTAGGTAATGTGCTGTTTCTCTCTTCAGGTGCACTGTATGGATGATGTCTGTGGACTGTTGCCTTTCCTCAATCCTGAGATCCCAGATCAGTTTTACAGGCTCTGGCTCTCACTCTTCCTTCATGCTGGGTGAGTCAGTAGATGTGAAGATCCTAAAAAACATAGTTGGACTTGTTGAAAACTGTCTGGCTTGTCAAGGTGGCAAAAAAAGGAAGGTATTTGTGTTTGGGGGTTTTTTGGATTATTGCAGGTAATATTCAAAGAGTTTCTTTGAATGGTCTCTTTGATCAGATAAGCATATGAATCAGTGAAAACACAATTTTGAAAAGTCCGTTGACTGTCTGAGGCTGATATAAAACATCAGTATCTTTGTTCACAGCAGCGTGGAGCAGGATGGTAACAGATCAGAATCAGACGGAGCTTCATTGTTCAAATATGTCTGGCACAAACAAGGATATTGTCGGCAGCTCTGTGTGCTCAAAGTCATAACGACGGTGTAGAAAAAGATAAAGGTATACAGTGGCAAACAAAAAAACACCTTACTGATTACAAAGGGTCAGAGGAGGACAATAGGAATTTCTATGGCTGTACATAAATATGGACAGGCCTCTATCATCTCCACTGTCAAAAGGTGAAGCCAAAATACTGCCTTTATTGGCAACAACATATTTTAGCTGATACATGTGCAAATGCAACCAAAGGTAGACTTTAGCATTCTTGGCTTAACTTACCCCAACTAGTAAGTACAAGCTACATTGGGGTGACCATAAAGAGGACCATTTGGCATCCCCAAAAAGAGGACACGACTACGCAGGGGCAGAGTCACCCTAAGTGCCCTGATACATTTCTAAAGTTTGTCCACAGCTCCATAGGGATTGCTGGAGGAGGCGGGATTTATGACCTATACTGCACCCCGTCACTAGAGGGTGCTGTTCCCACGGTGGTTTCACCCAATGAGGAGGCAGACGGTGTCCATTCTTTATACAGTCAATGGTCTAACCCTAATCGTATCCTAATGAACATATTAGGTCTAGCTATTTAATTTCCTCCTTTGACCCATCTCTTATCTGTTAGTATTGTGGTAGTGGGCTTTATCGACCTACATCAAAGCTGGTCACCAGGGGGAGCTCTGAATGTTGTGGTTTCACTTTCAGAGAGCGTTTATAAGATCCATCTTTTTATACAGTCTGTAATAAACACTATTACCAATATTACTGTGATATAAAGAGACAGTCACGCAGCACAAAGAGCTGACCTCAATGTGGAAATGAGAGGTGCTTCATCTTAGAGCGGTCTGCTTTCTGTCTCCAGGGTAATTAAACAAAGTGCCCTCACTACATGAACTCATTAAGCTTCAATGAGATGGAGGGTGATTTTGTTGATGGGCTGTTGAAGGGTTTGCCTCGTGTACACAGAGGAATTATCTTCCGAGCACATGAGGCTCTCCCGCCAGTGACTCATACATACAGTGGGGTCACATTGCACACACGTGAGCGTTGTGTCCTTTTCTTTCCTTACAGGATACTTCACTGCCTGGTGTCGGTGGCTTTTCAGATGACTATCCTGAGGGACCTGGAGAAGCTGGCTGGCTGGCTGCGTATCTCAATCATTTACATCATCAGTGGCATCACAGGCAACTTAGCATCAGCCATCTTCCTGCCCTACAGAGCAGAGGTGACCACAGAATATCACAAATGATGTGTCCAAACATGCATATTTGAAATGATGAGAGATGTTTATCATAGGTTCCCTCTCTCTGCTGTCCTTGTCTAAGGTGGGGCCAGCTGGCTCTCAGTTCGGGATCCTGGCCTGCTTGTTTGTGGAGTTGTTCCAGAGCTGGCAGATCCTGGCGCAGCCCTGGAGAGCCTTCACCAAGCTGCTGTGTGTGGTGCTCTTCCTCTTTGCCTTTGGGCTCCTGCCCTGGATCGACAATTTCGCCCACATCTGTGGCTTCATCTCCGGCTTCTTCTTGTCTTTCGCTTTCCTACCTTATATCAGTTTCGGCCGCATGGACCTGTACCGCAAACGCTGCCAGATCATCGTCTTCCTGCTGGTGTTTGTCGGGCTCTTCTCAGGCCTTGTGGTGCTCTTCTACGTCTACCCAATCAAGTGCGAGTGGTGCGAGTTGCTCACCTGTATCCCTTTCACGGACAAATTCTGCGAGAAGTACGACCTCAATGCTCACCTGCACTGAGACATGGACGGTGTGAGGAAAACATGAAGGCATCAGGTCAAAGGATGTGGACTGAAAAAATGATAGCAGCCGTTTCATGTCTCTACTTATCCCCCCAGTGTGTGTGGGTCGCCTCCTTCTCTGTGAACAATATAAATGTGTTTTTTTACTCTGTCAGTATGAATACCTATGCCACTCCTCTTAAGGACTTCCTTTAATCACCTCCCTGTTCACGGGCAGTCATTTTCCCTCCTTTACTGTCCAGTGAAACAAAGCTATGGCACCTCTGAACCTCATCAAAGCTCCCAGCTGCCCTTTACATACAAGAAGTGTTAGAGAGGCCACCGCTGGTACAGTGAAAAAGGAGTCTTTTTTTATTTACAGCACACTTCAGACAAAGGTTTTATTCTTACTACAATTCAGGCAACCTCATACTGAAGCAGGGACAAACATCTTATATTGATACCTTTGGTGCCTTGTTGAAAAATGTACCAACTACTGCCATATTTTTGTTACGTTACGCTGAGCACTCGAATGTTTTCTTTTATTTGTTTATTGCTTCTCAAGAAGTGATGATTGTTCTGAACATGGTAGTGTTTTAGCTACCTGTCTACTCACATGTAACTGAAAACAACAGTAAAAAAAAATCAACAATTCAAAGTCTGTGATTTTCTATTTATTAATATGAAAAAAAACAAACAAGATAAACGCTTTCATTGTTCATGATTTATTTAAATAATGCAACAAAAAAACAACCAATCATTAATACAGATTTTCAACATGTTCAAAGTATTGAAGTGTGGCTGCATGATCAACATGTAACATCCTTGGTAACTCACTTTGATAATAGCTACAGTCGGATTAAACACACCCTTTGGCTTCTATGGTCTACTCCTACAAAAGAGCAATATTTACAATTTAAAGCGTATACCTTTGATTTTCCAGTATTTGTCTGAATAAAACTGCAAAAGAGATTTTTGAAGAAAGACAAAAAAAAATAAAACGGAAACTAGCATTACGCTGAAAAAGCTGAGCTAGAAGAAGAAGAACTTTATTGAACCCTGAAGGGAAATTCAATACTACTTTTGATACCAGAAAGAATATGATTTACTATCTGTAAGGAAGCCCATAGAAGATTTACATCCATCCATTTTATTCTGTTTCTCTATGATCATGAGATCTTAAGGTTGTAAATCTGGTTAGGAACTTTTTGATTTTGACCTAGTATTTCTCTGAAGTTCCTGTTGTTAAAGCTCGTTTCCTATAGTTAACAAGATTTTCATGCAATCTAATATCAAAGAAGACAGGCAGGTCACTATTAAAGGCTAGCTGGCGACATGCCATGCTGCCAGTGTCTGAGGTAGGTTAATCTTTTCCTGCTTTATCTGGGCTTTTGCTACTTTGCAGACAGTCTTGGAATTAAGGGAACACCTGAAACAGACTTCTAATCACAGGAAACAGTGAATAAAATATGGATGTGTTATCTTCTAAAGGCACGAAGTGGAAAGCAGTTTTTCTTATCTATGCATGACTGTCCTCCTGTCTTCACACAGACATTCTTTTTCAGTGGATAGTGTGTGGAGCTCCACATAGACAGACCTTGATATAAAAATTGGATGAAGTCTGTTGGTGCATACTGGGCTCTTTGCCTCCATCTGTCCAGCTGTGTTTTGTTAATCTTTCCTGCCATGAGTCCAGGTAAGAAGTGAGTTGGTGGAGGAAGGGTGGGTGAAGATTGTGCCTGGTGGACTAGCAACCACTGTTTCGCCTGGCGTACGCCTGCCCGCCAAGCGTGTACTCCATCTCTTGGAATTGCATGTTGGATACAGAGATGGCTGATGATCCTTTCTCCTTGAAGCCAGCCTTGAGGTAGAAGGGCACCAGGAAGTCCTCGCAGATTAGCAGAGCCCGGCGGAGACCTGGCATACAGCGCAGGTACTGCAGGTACCGCCACAGAAGGATGGAGCCTTTGCCTTGCTGGCGACAATGGCGGTGCACAGACAGGACATGGATGTGCACAGTGGAGGTGGCCGGGACATGTTGAGTCATTGCCTCCTGGAAGGGAGTGGATTACATTTAGATCACCAAGGCACCAAAATTCACACACAAGATGAATTTAATCAAAAATTGATTAATTTTTTAATAAGAAAAACAATCTTTATCAAACTGCGAGCATCATTCATTTTTTAATAATCCAGTCCCACCTGTGATAGTCTCTCTTTGTCCCAGCCAGAGCCGATAATGAAAGCTACCAGCTGTCCCTCCTCAAACCAGCCCAGCGAGAGCTCAGGACACTGGCTCAAGAAGTTAAGTACCTCATCAAGGGTAAGAGGACACTCTCCAGACACAGAGACAAATGCTGTGGAGTAAAAAGAACCGGTTTAGACTGTGGGTCAAGCCCTGTGAGTAATCACAGTTAAGATCAGGATGACTACAGGATGGAGGAAATGTCATCCCCCTCAAGTAAGAACTGGCAGAGATTGTACTGAGCAGTAGAGAATGGAGTTTAAGGAAGAAAAGAGGAGTAACTTTTCCTGTAACAGAGCAGAATAATACAGTATGATCCCCGAGTCCAAAACAATCAGGTTCTTTCATACAAAAAATAAATAAATAAAACAAAACAAAAACATTCATTTGATGAAACATAATTTTGTTTTCTGTTTGAGTTTGACTCACCTTCCCTCTCGATCTCAAACACGCTGATGGCGTCCTGTGGCGTGAGGTTTCTGAACTCGCTGGCAGGAAGTGTGTGTCGTCTCTGTCGCAGAGGGCCGACCACTCTGACCGGCGTCTTCAGGAAAAAAGGCTTGAGGAACGGTGAGCCGATGACCTTCTGTGCCATGATGTCTGAAGAAAAAAAAAAGTTCGTTTTTTTCTATTTTTACTTTCAGGTCTCTATTCCTAATTTGTTTTCTTCAAGTCCAGCTTTTTGGTGAATGAATAAAACTCTCAAACTGCTACAAATACACTCCAAGTAAGTTCAACCCTGCCAATAAAACTTTCTGTCCTCTCCGTTTGCCGTGCAGCTCTGACTGTCAGGATGCTGACCTCTCTGTCTCTCCCGCTGGACTCTCCTCCTCTTCTTTGTCTCTGATCTCATACTGTAGAGTGATCATCTCAAAGTAGGATAGCCGCGCACGTGCCGCCAAAGTCTCTAAATCCCCTGCTTTCGACACACCTCTACTTCTTTCTGTCTCTCATGAGTTAGATTTCCTTTAACACCCTACTTAGGGCTCACCTTATCATTCCTTTTACGATAACCATGTTCGATTTACTTTTCCTGATGTTGTTGCAATTCCACACCTTCTTAAAGAAAATTGTGTGATATTTTTAGAAAGACTTAATGTAGAGCGTTATTTTGAGATGAGAGCACAAGTTACAGATTTGATAGGATGAATTGATCTATTTTTAAAGAGATGTATTGTATATGTGTATGGTTTAGCAGCTGCACTGTGGCCCAGAAAAAGGCTCTCCAACAGGTCGTCAACACAGCCCAGAGGATAGTCAGTTGCCCCCTTCCCTCACTGGACGACCTTCACAGTGCTCGCTGTGCTAAAAAAGCTCAGAGCATTGTTAAAGACACTTTCCATCCTGGTCACTCGTTGTTTGAACTTTTGCCGTCAGGCAGACGTTACAGGACAATCAAATCAAGAACAAACAGACTTAAAAACAGTTTTGATCCAACAGCAATAACTCAATGCCTTAAGGAAGGTTATGTGTGAGGAAAAATTGATTCACCTATGAATCCTGATTGTTTAATTCTAGAATTTTTCATCAGTTTGAAAAATCCAAAAGTAGATTTTTAAACTTTGTCCCTATCGAAGTCCAGTGTTAGGATGCACATTGGATACTACATTCACCTGGATGTGGCTATCCCATATGTCAATTGTGCAAATTGAATTTAAAGCTCTTTGGGATTTATTTCTTTATTTAGTACTGCTATTTATTACTGTAGTTGTTTTTACTGATGCACTGACTGTTTGGCACTTTTTTAATTTTGTTGTACTGGTTACAATGACAATAAAGGACTTTTCTATTCTATTCTATTCTAAAACATGTTGGCATATGCACAAACTGTACATTCAGGTATGTGTTTTTGAGGTGGAGAATAAGTGAGAGCTCATGTGACAGGATGCAGTGATACGTATGTTTTCAGAGATCAAGGGCGTGTGGGCTAATTGAACAGTACTGAGTGAGTGGGGGGATTTGTGTGGATTGCTTTAAGGATGATTTCATGCCTCAGAGAGGTTTAGCACACACTAATTAAATGAGAAAGCACTTGCTCTGAATGCCTGGAGATAAACCTGTTTACACAGACTTTGTGTTTTTTTTTGTTTTGTTTTTTTTTGTCAGATGGATGTACTGTCCTCAGGGTCTGTGTCTCTATTTTTATCTCACACTTCATATTGCCCATTTTAAAGGATTAAGGATTTGAAGTAAACCCTGATATCTGAGGTGGTCTGCTAAAACCTCAACTTCTATATTGTTTAATGTATCACCAAGAGATTAAACCAGAATTGTTGTGTTTTTAGGATTATTGTGTCACCCTGCCTCTTCTTTGTGGCCCTCATGACAGGGGTAAAACACGAAATCTGGACAGCCCGCCAATAAAAATAGAACATCGTCTCTGCTCATGAGATCACAGGAGGTCAGAGGTCAGGTTTATTATTGTCCAGACATGAAGAAGCTGTAGCTTTGTCAGTCTGCATGGCATGTTCAAAGTTAGTTTTTTTATAATGACAGTAAAATATCTTAAAATATCACACATGAAAACTAGAACCTAGAGTGCTAAAAGAAGGCAGGATTGGCAACTGAGACAATGAAACGCAATACTTGAAAAATAAACTCTCACTAAAGAGTCTCAAAGTGCAAATGTAAAAGGCCCTCCTCGATTTTACAGCATTTGCGTGAGTACATAAAGCTGCGCACACATTTTCTCAGTGTATTATGTTTTTATGGGCAAGCTTGAGGCTACACTGTAACTGTATACTCATTAAACTTTAAACCAGTGTACACCTGTTGTTCCAGCTGAGCAAGAGTTTACCAATACTGCTGAAGAACAGCATCATTACCTTATAAGCAGTCAGACTCTTAGTATGTAGAACCTCGCTATAAAAAGCACACCATCTACCTGGTAGGTGTGGTTTGCTGGTGGGAGAGTAGCATCACCAGCATTACAGGTTGACATCGAGGTTGTCCCACACTGCCTTGGTAAAGTGGTTATATAGACACACCCTACATACAACTTTATCTCCATTTTCTAGATGAAAACAACTGCCAAACTCGTGCTGCTCTACAGGATTCCATCTGTCTTCTGTGCCATTTCCATCCTGGTAGTAGAGCATTAGAGGCAGGCAGCTGCAGACACATCAGACTGCCAGCATTTGGAGTCTACAAGAAGTAAATGATAAATGGACTGTGTTTATATGGCACTTTTCTAGTCTTCTGACCACTCAAATCTGTCGTATATAAAATTCACACTAACCCACTCACACAGCATTCACACACTGATGGCTAAAGCTGATATGTATACAGTCCACCAGTTTTGACTAATCCCATTCATCTGATAGGAAACTGATTGACTCTATCAACCGATCCACAGGCACCCCTTTCGATTATACGACTGTTAATAATAATACATTTTACTCACAAGTAATTCATCAGGTGATGAAAGATGCTACAGTGCTTGCAGTGCTGCAAGATTATTTTGTCTGGTGCAGGTAATTTGTCCAAGGTAGGTAGAATGTCAGAAAACCATTAAAATAAAAAGAAGACCAAGCTGGTTGAAACTGGTTTACAAAGCTGGATAAGTGCAAGAACACTGGTTTTACCAGAACAGCAGTCAAGTGAGCTGTCAGGAAGAAGAAGAACAAACGTTACCTGATACGTTTTTAAGCTACAATCAGCCGATGTATCCACAGCCATTCAGAGGCCATAACCTTGAATCACAAAACAGCTGTGATGAAAACCATCCTCACAAATGACTCAAAGGAGGGAATGTTGGGAGTAAGCTTGATAGTTCCTGTTCAGAAAAGCTATGCAGCAGGAGGGGTGGCTAACAACTGATGTAAGTGCTCACCTCACAACAGCTGGCAGATGACAGTTTTTGTCATTTCTTAGTTCATTTTTTACTGATTCAAGAGGAAATTTACCCCCTCAATGACACAGATTGAAAATTTACATAAATGTTTGTTCACATCTGGCAGCGATCAATCTTTATTTATGTGGTGCCAATTCAAAGCAAGTGTTATCCCAAGACGCTAAACAAAGACAAGCTGGTCTAGACTATATTCTATTTACAAAGCATTCATCCTCTTTGCTCTCTGATGAACCTTGTTGACAGTGCGGGTTGTGTTTTATCCTTAAGACTTCTGTCACCAGACTAAGTGTGCTTATTAATCAGTGGAAGATTAACTGCAAGTCTGACTTTGTGGTTTTATATTTGTCCTCAGCCAATGTGTTACACTGTGTGCTGAACTGTAGAGAGGCTGAAAACTGGAGGACAGTTTTGTTCACGTGTTCTTGCAGAATAATGCATCTATTGGATGAAATGTGAAGAGGCAGAGTATCAAACAACACTAGCATATAGGACTGCTCTTAAATCATGTTTTTTCCCTTGGAGATATGAATGGTTTGGTAATTACCCTCAGCATGTTGCACAAAAAAGATACATCAAAATAAATATCATTGACGCTGACGGTCAGCTTTATTTTTGTATGAAAGAGGATTAGAAGAGAAAAAAATAGATTACAGGAGGGAGATTTTTTAAAATTTAATTTCAACTTTGTGATTGAAGTCAAAATTTCGTGATTAAAGTCGAAATTTAAAAGTCAAAATTTCAACTTTTGTCATGTTGACTTTAATCTCGAAATTTCGACTCTAAAAAAATTAAAAAAAATTAATCTTAAAATTTTGACATTATTCATGACATTTCTTAATCTCGAAATCTCAACTTTAATCTTGAAACTTCAATTTTTAATCTAGAAAATTTTGACTTTAATCTCAAAATTTAAATTTTTTATCTCAAAATTTCAACATTATTCACGACATTTCTTAATCTCGAAATTTCAACTTTAATCTTGAAATTTTAATTTTTAATCTCGAAAATTTCGACTTTAATCTTGAAATTTTAAATTTTAAACTCGAAAATTTTGACTTAAATTTCCTTCCTGCTTTTTTTTTTTGTCTTCATGCAGCCCTAATCCACTTCCGTATTTTAGAGGGTCAAAAGAGGCATCAAGTTCAATTTCAGCATTTAGTTCAGTTAAAAACTAAACAAAAGCTTTAAGCCACATAAAATAACACAACAAATGTCATGATACTAGAGTATTGCAGGATCAGCAGTAAAATAGATAATGCGTGATGGATTACAAAACAAGAGACAGTTGAAGTACTGAATTTGTTCTTTATTGTTATACTCATGCTGCTATACACACAAGGATAGACAGGTACTGATTTAACATAGAGCCACAAACCACCTACTGTGGAGTGATCCTGGATACCAGGTCAATCGTGGTCAGATTGGGAACAGGAAGGCACAGTATCAAGTTGAAATGGCACGGATGAGGAGGGGGGCAGACGAAATAAACTCTTTACTGCAAAGCAGTGAGACTTTCAAACCTCTAAAAATTCACATGCAAGGTGCTAGCCCAATTCTTGAAATGCAAAGTCTGCATTAGTGCACTAGACGTGTCCCTTCCAATCAAACAACCGAAATGCTAGGATTAAATGCATATTTGATATATGGTCATAACATAATAAATGAGCAAATTAACTGAATATTGTAATAACAATAAGATACTTTTTTTTTCCCAGTAGAATGAAGTTTGCAATAGAAAAAAAGGCTCTGTACATCAGCATCAAAAATCCTGTCTACAGCTGGAAATGGTTGTGTATTGTAGCATTTATACGAACACTAATGTCCAATGCAACAAGCAGGCAGCCATATCAAGTCAAGGCACAAAGATCTATATGCAGGGTGCTACACATACAGGACCAAGGTAAGAAATACAACCACCTGACCCCTTTTTTCTTGCAGCTACATCACATAAGCAGACACACCGGCATTGCCACGAATAGACTGTACAGAGATCTGCCACATCTACGACAAGCACACTGTGCCGTACGACATTAGCTTTAGCATGTAGCTGGAGCGTTGATGCTTGTTGCAGGCTTTAGCTATCTTTGAGTTCAGCTGTTAGGATGTAAATCTGTAGCACATATAGTTTTGAGTCTTAAATAATGTACATTGTACTTGAATCTAGCTCTGTTACTTCATTATCAGAACTTTGTATAAGTAATATATGATTTGGAGGTAACTACACAGGATTCTAGTCTTTGATACATAGATATCACATAACTTGAAATAAAAAAAAGACATACACAGATGTTTTAGACTGCATACAACTCAAACTTGTTTCATCATAAACTCTTTAGATAAGGAATGGATTAGAAAAGATTTTGTTGGAGTGCAAAATCACTTCAAACTGACATACAGATGTATGAGTTACACAGACTCAGATTTTGACCCATAATCCAAATTAAGCTCGCTGTAAAACAAGTTTAAAAGTTAATCATGTATGTCACAGAAGAAGAGTACGATATCTAAACAACAAACTTAGTTTATAAACTCTTGAATTTAGTGTCAAGGAACTGATAGTTAATTAAGTGTGCTTAAAAGCACCACCATAACTGGTAGTGAAATATCTCTGGAGTCCACATGATTACGACATGAATACTCTGGCCTACATACACACGCGCACACACACATAAACACACGCACACAACTTACCACCATCTGACAGTTAATGAAATGTTTTAGAGCTGGGGAAACAATGTTTTTTTTTTACAACATTAGTCATAGGGAGTCAAATTTCTTCCAAAAAGAGTCCTCTCATGTCCTGCTGAGCTTTTTTTCACGGCCTCCGTCAGCTCTGACCACACACAAAGGGAAAAGGGGAGCTCAATGATCTTTGTAAAGCATAAATCTGGGGGGAAAAATGCTAAATCAGAGTCAGGGGTTGAGGTGCTCATCCTCCAGGTGAAGGCTGCTCGCAGGACACAGGAGAGGCTGGCTGGAGCAGTTTGTGCTCTGACTTTTCAGGCTTTCTGTAGACTCGGATGACCCTGGAGACACAGAAGTCCAAAGCGGATGAATACCATGACCGGGTGAGGGCTCATACACAGGGAGGCAGAGCAGAAAGAAAAGCCTACATACCACAGTTATTCCTCCATACCAATAGAGCAGGAATCAGGACCTAAAGCTGCCAGAAGTGAGGCAGTTTGAATGGAAATGAGACGGCAGGAAAGAGAATAAAAAGGTTAGGAAACGGAGAAGCACAGGAGCACACAGGTTAAACGCAAAGCATGGACAATTATAGATTAGTCTGGGATTGAAGGGAAGAAACACGCAGAAAGTTTACAGGAGAGGATGAACACCAAAAACCAAGGAAGAAAAGAAGAAAGGAACATTTTGATTTGACTGAAGGTTTTCTTCAACTTCTCTCTTTGGTCTCTCGGGAGATTTCCTCACCTGGCAGAGACAAGTCACCTGCTGGGTCACTCTCTGTTTTGGTCAAGCTGCTGTGCTCACTGCTGCAGTCCTGAAGGATGTCTCCTCTTGAGGGTGTCCTGTCCTCTGGAGCACAAAGGACAGCGAACGTCAATAAAGCGAACACGCAGAGTGAGCGAAACTGTTTCGGTGCCAGATAAGAAAAAAAAACTCACCGTCGTCTGGAGACAGGGACTCAGCTGCGTCCTCGGTCGCTGTGGCCTGAGAGGAAAAGAAGACAGGTCCCTTTTTTAAAGATCGTCTCTGCAGCAAAGTCAAAGTTTAAATTGTGAGCTGATGTAGATGTCTACTTACATCTGTTGGGGCGGGGCTGCTAGAGAGCAGGGTGTGTGGCTGAGCATCGGACATCTCAGACAACTTCTCCTCATCTTCCTCCTGGATGGGAGAGGATGGAGACCTAAGGGTGCTGACATTGGGAAGAAGGAAAAATGATTAGTGAATATAGAAAAATGAATCCTTGTACCTTACATGGACGGATTTTCTACCTTTGACAGCAAATGATGTTAAAATAATTAAACTAAAATATCATGGAAAAAATATTTTTGCTGCTGTAAATGAAATTTCTCACTGAGAATCATGTGAGGTACTTTGATTTCTCATAAAAGGTCATCTTCCTGATTATTTTCACTCCAGTCCTTTTTTTTTTTTTTTATTTGATGTGATTACCTGTCAGGTGACTTGCTGACTTTGCCTTTTTGCAGACTCCCATCACTTAAGTGCTCAGGGGAGCTCAGCTGTCTGCTGTCGCCTCCCAGACCTCCTGAGAAGTTAATTTCATCGTAGAGGGGTGCAGACGGGATGGCAGGAGACACTGACCGCAGGCCGTTTAGAGCCTCCAACAGTGAGATGGGTTCAAAGCCGGGAGGGACTGAGTCTGTGCTCTGCAGGGACACGTATCAGAGGCGCTGAAAAGACTCACATTTCACACGTGACCCTATTTGACCTCATTCTGCAGTCGGACTAGTTAGATTTCAGCGGCTAATGCCAAAGCTTTACAAAGTTCTGTAGCTGAACCCTGAACTCATCCCTCTTTCTTTTACATCTAAATTTCCTACTTAATTCAGCATCTGTTCAAAAATATTAAGCCAAGAATGAGCTGAAGGTAACATCTGTGTTTGGGCTGTTCCAAGAATTACCCCCACCCAAAAACACACCCAATATTTCACTGAAGAACTTCATACCCCAATAAAAAAATGTCATGGAGTTATTTGTTTCCAGATTCTCTTTGATGCTCCTGCACATCTTAGCCAATTTCAGCAGACGTTTTCTTATTATTATACACAGATGTGCATGAGACTCACTGAGTGCTCGTCATGGTCCATAGTCTGAGCCAAAACAGGGCTGAAGGACACGGGGGAGAGAGCGCCAGGCTTTTTCCTCACCGCCCTGATCTGCAGCAACGCTCTAAAAGCTGTTGAGAAAAAAATGCAAGCTTAAAACCTAAATATTGAATTTAAGCAACATAAACATAAGCTAATCTATAAGCATGGATCTAATCTGAGTGAGAAGAACTCGATTAGAGTTAGAGGAAGTTGTCTCACGTAGCCTGCAGATGGGACAGTTGTTGGCCTGATAACGCAGAGTGTCTGCACAAGAGTTGCACAAACACAGATGTCTGCACGGCAAGATGAGTGTATCCCGCAGGTCGGACAGACACACAACACACTCGTTGCTGTTGTCGCTGTTCTCATCATCAGAAGGCTGGAAACAAAAAAACACATTTAAGTTTTAAAAATAGAATAAAACACAGATATTGTTTTTATTTGTACTGTTAGTAGACTCGAACTAATACCTTAGTTTCTTGGTTGTTTTTGTTCTCAATCCCATAGATCTCCTGTAAAAGGTAGCTCACGCGGTCCACCTAGAAAGACAGTCAGTTTCACTAATCTGTGATTCATGTATTTTACAACTGGATGACCAATGCTGTCTTGAATCTTAAATTTTATAAAATCATTGTCATGTTTTTCCAAGACAAACCAGAGAGTCTAAACGATTCCTTTTAGCTCTTTGTAATCTAAGTTTACACTCAACACCTAAAATGAATCTCCTTTACTCTGACTCCCAGGGGTCTCGGCACAGATTTCTTAAATGCTGCGCCTGAGTTTGGGTCACTGAAGCTCTACTTCAAACATCCTGCTCTGTATTAAAAACAGACTGGATGTTCTTATTCAGGCGTAAGGTGAAAACATTTATCCAACCAAATCTAGAATACATTCGGCCTTGAACTGAAATCACTCGCTGACAGATTTTCAGAATGATGGATCATAAACCTACGATTTGTTTCTGCTTCAGAGGCTTGACTGAGAAACTGCCGTCAACGTGCTGGAGGAAGAGAAAGACAAACACAAACAAGTTTCAGCTCTTGTTTCACGCAGACTGAAAATATGTTATCTGAATAAGAAGCAGTCATACTCTTTCAAAGGCTGCCAGGAGCACATGAGCATGTCCGAGGCAATCTGAAACAGAACCACAGTTAAGAAATTCATATTAATGGTTTGAATGAGTATTATAGCTTTGTGCAGCCAGTTCCAACAGAAAATATAAACCTTTAACCTACCGTCTCCCTCATCAACCACAGCCTGGATCACCATGGGAAACACTCCTCGGTCGAGGTCAAAGTTCAGCTTTAAGAGAAAAGAGATAAATGTACAAACAGAATATATTTAAGGCTCCTGTACAGACCTCAAAACAAATGTGTATGCTTTTTTATGTCCTACCAAATCAAACAAGCAGTCCGTATGAAGACTGAACATTTCTATTCTGTTTTATTTATGTCTCTCAGGTTAGGTGTCAGATTAGGCTCCTGGAGGACTCTTTGTTTACATTTTCCACATTCACATTCATTGACTGGAAGAAGCAGGACGAGTAGTTCTATAAAAACCCCTCTTTATTGAACACAGGACAAAATTAGCAAAGAGGTAGGAGGTACCGCCTTGTCTATGGAAGTGTTCGGAGCGATCAATCTTTGTTTATGTAGTGCCAATTCACAGCAAGTGTTATCCCAAGACGCTTAACAAAGACAAGCTGGTCTAGACTATATTCTATTTACAAAGCATTCAAACAGGAGTGACAGTGGGGTTGAAAAGTGGCTGATGGCATGCCAAGTCATATGCCAATAGTTCAGAGAATGTGGCACAGTGGACAGTATGTCACTTGTGGGCCAGTGGCATGTGCCTGTCCTCTGAGTGGTATGCCAATGGCGTTCCACTAATGTTTTTTTTTCTGTCCTCATGGCAACAAAAGTGCATCATAGAGGGGTGAATACAGGGATGTACACGTCTTCCTCATTGGTCTTTCATATGTATTGGAAGTAGGGCTAGGCGATAAAACAATAACGCTATATATCGAAAATTACCCTCAGTATCAATATAAATCATGGTCAATATCCTTTTCCATAGTCGACATTCTGACATGTTTTGGTAGACTGTATGAATAGCCAATGAAAAGGTGAGTTTCTCCGGGTCCAATTCGCGCTGAACCAATCATGTGCTGAAGTAGCACCAAGTAGCAAACAACTGCGTAGTAGCAGGCTGCAACTACACACAAACATAGCACTTTAACAGCGCAATGCCTTATGACAAAATGTCAAAGAAACACAAAGACCTCACAGATGCAGTAGCTTATTGTACTGCAAAAGACATGCTACCAATAAGCACTGTTAAATTTCATTTTTTATATTGTGATATATTTATCGATATCGACTGTTATGAAAAAATATATATTGGTAAATTTTTCTCATATCGCCCAGCCCTAATTGAAAGTGTAGTTGGTTGTTGTCTTTGTGATTTCATGGAAGTGATTTAGCTTTGGTCGGTAATTAGCCCGTTAACTCTAACCACGGCAGCCAATCAGAGTGTTCATTATCATATATAAAAAGCGTCATAAAAGACAAAGGAAGCACATACGTCCCTTTATTTACCTCACTATTCCGCTTTTTTTATGAGCCGATACTGATGCCATACCACTCAGTAGATCAGCACATGCTAGAGTTTAGCACCTGGTGGCATTCAATCAACCACATACTGATCTTGGTGCTGCTAACAAACGGAAAATTGCCAACAGGAGCTTTAAAAACAACATGGACAACAATGGAGTCTATTCATTTTTTTTGCTGCTGCAGATACTTACATCTTCTTCTTTCCACTCGCTGAAGTCTATTTTATAGGATGGCATGGAGAACTGCTGGCTCACCCCTCGCTTGTAATGCACGGTTTCAGAGGCCATGGATAGATTCTTTGGGCTGTACCTGCACACAGCATGTTACACAGTATGTTGTAGATAAAAGAGGTTTGAGGACGCTTTGACTGACAGTACGCACTGTTTCTCAAGCAGTGCAAGAACAAAACTGAAATGTAGGCACTTATCAATCAAGTAGGTTTGTAGCTGTAATCACCATGAAATCTCTACATTTATTCAAGAACCATTAAAACACTTTAATGAATAAAGAATATACATCAGATTTTTTAAATCCCAGAAAAATGTCTCATTTCTCAGCCTCATTATAAAAAACAACTTCAAACTATTTCCTTCATCTTCTTCTCAGTCATATCTGCGGTATCCATGGTGACTGGTGGTTGCTAAGGACCCAGAATATCTATTCTGGTCTTTGTGCTCTAAGAAATCAGGTCTAAATTTCTCAATATGCCCCAAGGTTTCCACCAAACTCCTGCAGTGTGAGAGTTACTTCAAGCTGTTTATTTGGTTTTGATTTTCTCAACAGAGAAAAGAATAAAAAGACAGTGAAGACTCTTATAGGAAACCAGGGTAGCGACATTTTTTGGGGCCACTTTTACTTGATCCAGCACCTGCCCTCTTTAGCTTGAATATGTGTGTCACTTGATTTTTGAACAATTTTCTTACAGACAGATGTTTGTTTTATTTGGACGTCTAAATTTAATTCCTAAAAAGACGATTTGATTTGTATCAGTTGGTTAAGTTTTGGTTAAAACTATTTGTGACTCCTGCCTACAACAGAGAAGTTCCCGGAACGAGTCCTTACACTGCCATCCCGTTGGAGAACTCCTCAAACGCCTGGCAGTAAAGAGTGATGGCCACCCGCGCATCAGCATCAAAAGTGAACTCCACACCATACTGAACCTTTGGTTTTCCACCATCTTCAGCCACCGTGTCAGAGTCATCTTTGTATCTGGAATCAAGATAGAAACATTGGAAAAACTGCAACTTTGATTTTACTTTTACTGATTCACATCATGGTATTGACTTTCTGTCTTACCTGACCAAACGAAGGGAGTCCTTTCTGATGTTGACGAGACTCCTCAGGGTTTTCACAGGCTCATGGGGGGCAGGCGTCACGTATGGAAACTAGTGACACATTGCAAACGACATTTAGCTTTAAGATATCGACACAGTAAAGACTCTGCCAGTAACAAGAAAAAGGGCTGACTGTACAGATCTGGTTCTAAAGCTGTAAGAATGATGAATCAGCAAAAACAACATTTCTCACCTGTACTGGTCTGTTTCCAAGAAAATTCAGGTCCATGTTTTCTCCAAAGAGGTATCCTTCGGGATGGGGTGTGTCAAATTTTTCTCCTCCCATAAAGAAATGACTCGCAAAGTAATTACCTGAAGAAAACAAGGAAGCGAGGAATTTAAAAATGCACAACAAGCCAGGCAATAAGATAGTGACAATAAAACTGCTTACTGAACAGGCTCAATAAATCAAGCAGAAGTATAACCACAAAGGTAGCAGCTTGACTCTGAACACTCAAATATTTGAAACTGAAAGGTAACAGTTTGATTCACACAAGAAGACGTAGATTATTTCATTGACTCCATGTGAGCATAGAGTGACTGAGATTTATCTCTCTCGCCTAAAATTATTATTGTTGTTTTGCTATCAATAGTAAACAGTATGAACTTTCATTTGCTCCAAGTAGGGCTGGGCGATAAAATGATAATGATATACTTAGAAAATTAATTTCCCTCGATATTGATATAAAACATGGTCAATATGCTTTTTGATTGTCTGCATTCTGCCATGTCGGTGGTGTGGAGGTATTTTGGTTTTTTGAGGTTGGACATAAAGCAGAGTAATGTGCACTGCAAATTATGTTGAGTACATTTTCTCGCAAAGCCGGTGAATACCTCAAATCTTTTTCACCACCTTAAGTAGTGCCATGCAGCAGACCATGCGCAATGCAAAAGTTTGCAAACCCCGAATGGAGCGAGGAGCCCATGGCGCCTGTGCAGCCGAGAAAGCCGACCATTCAGTCTGCTTTCTTTAACACAACACCTTACGACAAATGTCAAAGAGACAGAAAGACCTCACAGAAGCAGTAACTTATTGTTTTGCAAAAGTCATGCTACCAATAAACACTGTTAAATCGACCGTTTTTGTCGTGAGATTTTTTTGGACGTCAATATATTTTTTCGAACCTGTACCCCCCCAAAAGTCACAAAATCGCATTGGGCTTAATGTGTATAGTCAGGCGTGTCAAAATTCGCCTCCGAATATTTCATAATTTCACGTTGCATATTTGTGTCAGTGTGTAAGGACCTTAACAGGGAACATTTAAGATTGACAAGTATTTTTTTTAGTATCGTGATATATATCATTATCAACTGATATTAGAAAAATTTATCATGATAAACTTCTTTCCATATCACCCAGCCCTAGTTCCAAGTAATAATACTTAATTTGTATATACCAGCAGATGACAATGACATAAACCGAGTAAGATTTCTTGACTTTATATGTCTCCAAAAGTTTTGATTTACTACCTGAAAGTAGTTATTTGTTTGATAACTGCTCTCTTGGATTTAATGCGTTAAAATAAAAGGGGAACACTAAGGTAAATTTACTACAAAAGCAGTGAGACATAAGCAATTATCTCACATGATGAAATAATAATAACAACAAAGATTTTCAGAGTGGACTGAACACTGTCTAAGTGTTGTTTTTAAAGATATGTTGATTGACATGACAGTCATGTAAAAGTCTTAACTACACAGTGAATTAAAGCTAAAACAAGAAGTCTGTACAATCGTTTATGCTGTTAGACAATACATGTAATATGCATTTGATTACAAACAAGCTCATAATGTCGTGTTTCCAAGCGTACTGTACATACACTCATAAAGTTAGCTGATGCTAATGCAGAGGAGGGAAAATAAGACCTAACAAGCTGGCGTTTCTTCGACCCATCAATGTTTTGCTCGAAACAACGCACGTTTCTGTGAAGACAGAACCCAACCAAATGATATTACGGTTACCAGATTTCGGAGGAAAGCGATAGGCCGAGTTGGCCTGGATATCGATGTCCTCCACACCAGCGATTCTGCGGCTCAGGATGGACCCCATCTTTCTCTGCTGGTTCGCCGATGTTAGCTCAAGCTATCTCGCAGCTGCAACAGCACGTCGGCAGTTCCAGTTATCTCTACCTTCAGAGTACAACTCGGCCGAAACACAGATAACATACACCTACAACTCAACACGAAACGTCAGATAAACATTGTACTCGTTCGTTTTTATCCGTCGTTAGGTTGCAGATGCTAATGCTAACAGGAAACAAATCGAAACGAGCTGTTGTTGTGCCAGGGCTGTGATGACGTAGCAAAGAGTCGACCTGATTGGCTGCCACCAAGAGGTTCTAGAACTCAGGGGGTGTTCGATCTCCATGAAGGAACAACAGGTGTTATGCCGTAGAATGCACCCTTGCCGTAGAATGCACCCCCTGACGAGAACGCCGTTAAAAGTACATAACAAGGCGAAATAATCCAAGTTTTCCTTACGGTTGTATGGATTCAACAGCGTGTGCCTTTAATAATTTCATTCAGGCTATTCAGATAAGTCGAAAACAATAGCCCTCTGATTCGGAATATTTGCTGTCCCGAAAATGTTATGCTCTCTACCATGACAGCTTACGTTACAGTTAACATACTAAAGTACACCTCTATATGTGCATTTTTGAGACACAAAAAAACAGAACGAAAGTTTGCTGCTCCACTTGACATGTTGTCATGATCCAATACTCATTCAATCATTTTCTTCCACTTTAAGAAGCTAATGAGTGGATGGGATGCAGGGGATGCATTGTGGGGGTGCATTCTACGGCACAACACCCATTGGCAGTCTTTCGTCATCGTGGGAAAAGTGGATTGAAAACCTGGGCCCCTATGTAGGAAGATGTCCTCAGTAGGTCTGAAAAGAAAACTTAGTTTTTGATTGTTGTTTATTGTTTGTTTTCTAGAACAACTTTACTAAGTATTCTGAATAAATTATATCAAGGACAAAAGAGAAACTTGTTTGGTTGGGCACATGCAACGACGAAGAATGATGAAAGCAGTCTAGATTTGGCCTAAGGAAATCAGCCTATAATCTGGGTTTAGATCAATATTGCAAGGAATATCCTGTTGCCTCTCTTTTTGCTGTTGTTGATTGCGAAATTTCAGGTTGTTTCACAAAGTTAAAGATCTTAAAAGCATTTAATGGGTCACAAATATATATTCTTAAAGTAACAGGGGATGCCCATACTTTCATGGTGTTTTATACATCAATAGAGACAATAATTGATTACATGCAATAAGTGATTACCCTGTTTTTAATTAGTTTTAATATTCATGCATTATTCCATCCTTCAAACAAAATCCCACTTCTACTACAACTACTGCTAATATCAATTAAACTAGAACTTTGATTTCTACTTCAACTACTATTGATACTATTTCTACTTTCTCTACAGGTGCTACTACTTCTACTACCAGCTCTACTATTTGGACTTATACTTCTTTTATCCTCAAACTACTTGTACTGCTTACATGACTTACATGATAACTTAAACTTATGCCACTTCTCACCTTCCTGCCTTTTAAGGAAATTTCCTTCTTCATTCAAACTGTTCACCCTCTTTCAGGATGAATAAAATTTTAATTTATGGAGCATATTCATACTATTTCTCCTTTAACCATTTTCACAATGATTCAACTTCTAGCTTTTACATTTATACCTTCCTCCATTTTTTATTAGCAGTTTGGCATTAGGAAATGCAATTTTTCTAGTTCTTATTCTTATTTCTAATTCTAGCTATGATAATTCCATTTAATAATCCTGGTGATTCCCTGTTTCTTCTATGCCCTGCAGACTACATGATAAATGTTAGCTGTGTAAAATAGGTGAGACAAAAACAGGTTTAAGTTTTTTCAACAGCCACAACTCCTTTCAACTTTTAATTCTGTGTCTGTAAAGATTGCCAAAATTTGTGGTAGATGCTTAATCAACCATTCTGTGAGTTGGGAGAGTTTTTCCCTTACATTTTTATTCTTTCTCCGTTTTTACCCTGTTTTTTGTTTTTACTGATCCAAAGACTGACAGCAACAGATTATACATCCTCCAGGGTGTTTATGTAGCCTACTCAAGTGTTGGTAATAGACTGGAATTGATTCATTTATTCAATCATTCATATGATGATTGTTTAGATTGTTTGTGTCAGTAGGCTCGCTGAATTGTTTATAGGGATAGTGCAATTTGTCCTACTGAACACCAGGGGGCAGTAAATACTTGTGCTTCTAAATACCTTACGATAATAAGGAATGTTCCAGTTAACGGTCCTTATACTAGAAAGTGGATCTTAAAACATAAAAAGGATATTTTATTCATGAATTCATTTATTCTTACAAATTATTACAAACGGAAACACTAAGGGCTGAAGTGTTCCGATTTGTGGAATAAGTTTGTGGAATATATTTAATACTTGTAAAAATATATCAACGCAATGCTGGCTAATCAGAATAAATAGATGATGCTGTCTATATTTCGAAACAATTTCACAATTTCACCTTTTCTGTCTTAATAAATCTTCCCATACATTCAGAAAAAAATGTTTCAATTTCCTCATAAGGACACAAAAATGTGATTGGCTCTTTTATGCTCAGTCGTATCATATAAGATATATTCTATGATTTACTTTTTTAAATGTGTGAATTTATTTAGTAAATTTTGACGAGTATGTAAATCAAAGTAAGTGTGGTTTGGTGTTAACCACAGTCTGTGGTGTTAACCCATGTAAGCGGATGTTGACTGTTATCAGAGGGTCGGAGCTGATATTAACTTCAGTCTCACCGCGGACGGGCTGCGTTTCCTTCATAAACAGGTACATTTGCTTTCAGCACTTTGACAGCTTTACCATTATCGTGCCAGTATCTAGAGATGCTATAGACATATAGTATACAGTATTCTTCTCTTTAGGGGCATTAATTTCAGTCTAATGATTCTCTGCCTTGAATGGCGACGCTTGATAGCTCACGACAGCTAGCAACACGCTGTGCTTTGAGGTTAGCTAAACAAACACATCTCTGTCCACCAAGTTTTCTCACCAGCTGGATACAAACATGATATCACTGCCAGTTATTTTTATATATTATTTGTGAAAACCTACGTGAGGAAATACAAGTTTCTTCGACCTGCTGATTAGTACAACACACATAACGCCTCGTCCCTGTTGCCGTTAGCTCCAGTCACCTAACGGTAATAACAGGAATGATAAATACATATAATTGATACGCGCTTCACACAGTGAGGTGATATCAGCGCCGTTTTTCACTGGCATCGATTACGCAACTAAGTTATTCAGGGTTAGTTGTGCAAGTGGCTTTGAGCTGGATTATCTGGGAAAGGATTAAAAAAACAACAGCTAGCTAGCCAGTTTGTTAGCAGGGAGCGTTAGCTTCCATTTAGGTAAATTCATTGCAGTAAATCGAGCTTATCACTTAACACAGTGGTTCTCAACTGGTCTCACTCTGGGACATACATTTTCCCATGGTCCTTAAGTCGCAACCCACTTTCATAGAATTCAAACCAAGCGAATAAATCTTTTTTAATTAAAAAAAAAAAGCTTTAAAGACTCTAAACTTTAACATAAACCCACTTGTTTTATTGAGTAAAGTGCATTTTAGAGCACATGAAGAGGACAGCATGAGGACGACAACTACTGAAGTTGCGTATACAGAAAATTTTGAGTATCTAATAAATATCACATTAAGTATTTACTTTTTTTTGACCAGCTGTTCGTGACCCATTCAGAACGTGTTTGCGACACACTTTTGGCTCGGACCCACCAGTTGAGAACCACTGACTTAACACACGTCAACATGTGTGCTTATCTGCATTTAGGTTAATCTTCACGGTGTTTTGGGTTTAATGACATTATTTAGTTGTTGTTGATCAATTCTGTCCTCCTCAGCTCAGCTATTAAAGGAGCACTTTCATGACTGTTATTGGTGAGAAAACAGCTCTTTTTCCAGTCTGAGTCACATCCTTTAGTAATTATGGTAATGTTCATGTTGTTGAGTTTATTACTTTCCCTTCAGAAGTTAACACAACTTGCTTATCTAACAGCAGTCAGGAGCATATCTTTATAATTCAGTCCTGTTGTAGCTACAGTTTCGTTTGTGAAAAATCTAATATTTACCCACTGGTTTTAGAAATAATAAACACTGTCATAAATTCAACTTTATGAAGCTTATACTTTTTTAGTTTTCGATGATATGGTCAGACAGGTGACAGTCGTAGTGGGTGTTGTTGGTGTCCCAGAGTTGAACATATTTAAAGGTGTCCCTAATACAAATACTCCAGGACCCCAACACCAACAAACTCACAATTTTTTGGTTAAATACAAATTATAATCCACAATACAATCTTGCTCCACACAAACTGAGGAATGTTGTTTCTTTTGAAAACAAGGCCATTACACACCCTCTTTTTTTCCTGTTACATCTTTCTTGCCACAGTCATTTAATCTTTTCAGTTATATTGCCCAGCCCTACCGCAGGTTAACTGGTATTCTGAAATGTTATGTTGAGGTTTGTTGAAAGCTGCTCTCAGCCGCAGCATGCATTATTTATCCGGAGAGAGAAATCAAATTCCTGCAGGAACTCGAACCCTGAACCAGAGAGCTCTCACCGCTGTTGTCGCTGTTAACATTTTGTGATTTTTTTCATCTTCCTTCAAACCATTTTGCATCAATCAGTTTGTTCTAGACGCCTCCCTATCTTCCTCAGTTGTTCTGACCTTTATGGTGCTCAAACAAAGCTCTTGATTAGCCTTGGTGGCGGTTGATGGAACATTTTATGGCTTGTGAGATGTTTGTCAGAGAGTAATAAGCTTTGGTTCCCCCTTTTTTTTTATATCACACAGAGCTAAAGTCCACAGAGCGCTTTGAGCAGCATTTTCAACGCCTTTTTCCAAATACTCATCTGGCCAGTATGTCCAATGATCCTCCTCCTCCATACCCTGGAGGTCCCAGCGCCCCGCTCATTGAGGAGAAGAATGGACAACCAGGTATGTTTGTATTCATTTCAGTTGGGGTTGCCTCAGTGTCTGAAATTATTGTGGATTACTTTGCGATTTGTTCGTTTTTATTTGTGATCATCAAAATGTGGGGAATAGAACCTCACAATTTTTAGTTTGTACAAGTTAGTTTTCAATCATCATGCCTCGAATAAACCACAGAGATTTAAAGATGTTTTTGATTGCCTGCTTGAGTTTGAAACATTTCTACACCTGTCATCTTCTTCACATGTGGGGCAGCCCCTGTAAGAACTGCACCTATACAGGGACAGCCGTTACCTCCAGACTATGGTCCTCCACCTTATGAGGCCCCGGGGCCTGGCTTCCTTCCCCCACACGTCCCTGGAGAAGGACCCATGCCAATGCCAATGCCTCCACCCCCACCAGGTATCGCACACAGTCTCTAGACTCCAAAAGTGCTTCTGCTTGTGATCAAGTTGTTGCTGGTAATTCAGTTATCATGAGACAAAACTAGCTCATATTTGAACCAACATATTAGTAAAAGCTGATCTCTGTCAACAGTAAATTGAGTGTAATGTCCTTCTGTACAGGGGGGCACTATCCACCTCCACCTGGTCACTACCCTCACCCGATGCCTGGACAGATGGGTCCAGGTCCTGGTCATTTTGTCCACATGGGAGGCCACACAGCAACCGTCCTGGCTCCTCCAGGAGCAGCCACCACTGTGACCGTACTGCAGGGGGAAATGTTCCAGACCTCGCCGGTGCAGACCGTGTGTCCGCACTGCCAGCAGGCCATCGTCACCCGCATCTCCCACGATGTCGGACTCATGAACACACTCTTTTGCCTCTTCTGCTTCTTTGTAGGGTGAGTAGATAAGGGGCCAAGGAGAACATGGGTCACGTGGCCTGCTGTTTGTCAGGGTTTTGTTACATTAACAACCCTGCTTTATGATTATGTTTCAAACACGTTAGACTTTTCAAATCTGGTGTTTTTTGTCTTTTAAAATGAGCTTGACCCACACAGCCATAACATTCTGATCATTTGCCTTATACTGTATAAGCCCACATCCAGTTCGGACAGAACCAGCCAAAGCACCCCTGACCTGATGAGACACGGACCTTAAGTCAGCAGCAGATCCTTTTAGTCCCTAAACTTGTGAGTCGGGGTCTCCATGGATAAGATTGGTTGTCCAGCATAAACAGAGGAATCTGGGGAATTCAGCGGTCCAGTCAACACCTTGAACTCATCATCATTATGTTCCTCCAGGCCACCTTCTATTCATCGCTTCACAGTCTAGATCTGGAACACTGGCTAGTCTGACACCTTCCTCTCAAAACCAGCTTTCACTTTTTCCAGTTTGAGCTCTTGGAGCTCTTCTGTTGAATCAGGCTACATGGACCAGCTTTAACTCCCTACATACATAAATGAGGGTTGTCCTGTGATCCTGTTGATGGTTCACTACCTCACAAAAGCTGCTGTCTCGGACACACTCTGATCCAGGCATCTTGCCATGATAGTTTGGTCAAAATATTTGGCTCTCATCCTTATTAAAACAGCCTGCTTCCCTGTGTTTAATGATCTACTTCAAGGACACAGTGTTCATTTGCTGCCTAACACGTCCCACCCACTGACAGGTGCCACTGTAAAGAGATCATCTCTTGGCCCATTTTAAGGGGGGATTTTTGCACCTCCGGTGGGTCTCAACTGCAATGTGTAACTCATGGAGGCATAAGGCTGGGGCAAAGTCGATCTTCCCTTGGAGGTAGTAACAGAGGCGTAATAGGAGGAAGAAGGCGGACATGTTTAGTTAGCAGGGAGGATCAGCGCTCCCTCTGTGTTTTCAAGCTGTGCCTCCTGTGTTTCCACAGTGTTGTGATGCAATGTGTAATCACACACTGGGTCACCAATTTTAAAGCATTTCAGGGAGCAGAGTGTGAAGATGGAGTGATGGAGGAACTCGGTTCAAGCTGTGGTTCACAGTTGTAGTGTTTAAGAGGCTGATGATGTTGACTTCAACCACCAGTAGTAGATGTACACTCACCGGCCACTTTATTAGGTACACCATGCTAGTAACGGGTTGGACCCCCTTTTGCCTTCAGAACTGCCTCAATTCTTCGTGGCATAGATTCAACAAGGTGCTGGAAGCATTCCTCAGAGAGCTTGGTCCATATTGACATGATGGCATCACACAGTTGCTGCAGATTTGTCGGCTGCACATCCATGATGCGAATCTCCCGTTCCACCACATCCCAAAGATGCTCTATTGAATTGAGATCTGGTGACTGTGGAGGCCATTTGAGTACAGTGAACTCATTGTCATGTTCAAGAAACCAGTCTGAGATGATTCCAGCTTTATGACATGGCGCATTATCCTGCTGAAAGTAGCCATCAGAAGTTGGGTACATTGTGGTCATAAAGGGATGGACATGGTCAGCAACAATACTCAGGTAGGCTGTGGCGTTGCAACGATGCTCAATTGGTACCAAGGGGCCCAAAGAGTGCCAAGAAAATATTCCCCACACCATGACACCACCACCACCAGCCTGAACCGTTGATACAAGGCAGGATGGATCCATGCTTTCATGTTGTTGACACCAAATTCTGACCCTACCATCCGAATGTCGCAGCAGAAATCGAGACTCATCAGACCAGGCAACGTTTTTCCAATCTTCTATTGTCCAATTTCGATGAGCTTGTGCAAATTGTAGCCTCAGTTTCCTGTTCTTAGCTGAAAGGAGTGGCACCCGGCGTGGTCTTCTGCTGCTGTAGCCCATCTGCCTCAAAGTTCGACGTACTGTGCGTTCAGAGATGCTCTTCTGCCTACCTTGGTTGTAACGGGTGGTTATTTGAGTCACTGTTGCCTTTCTATCAGCTCGAACCAGTCTGGCCATTCTCCTCTGACCTCTGGCATCAACAAGGCATTTCCGCCCACAGAACTGCCGCTCACTGGATATTTTTTCTTTTTCGGACCATTCTCTGTAAACCCTAGAGATGGTTGTGCGTGAAAATCCCAGTAGATCAGCAGTTTCTGAAATACTCAGACCAGCCCTTCTGGCACCAACAACCATGCCACGTTCAAAGTCACTCAAATCACTTTTCTTCCCCATACTGATGCTCGGTTTGAACTGCAGGAGATTGTCTTGACCATGTCTACATGCCTAAATGCACTAAGTTGCCGCCATGTGATTGGCTGATTAGAAATTAAGTGTTAACGAGCAGTTGGACAGGTGTACCTAATAAAGTGGCCGGTGAGTGTATATACTGGTGTGTGTGAAATCCAGAGTGAAGCATTTATCCCAGAAGATGGCACTATAATCCAGCAGTTCAAATTGGATTCCCAACTTACAAGTTCAACACCACACAAAGGAAAATTTGTTTGGTGTTAAACTTGTGGTCAGCTGCTTTCGGGGCTAAATATGTAAAGAGATCTGATGTTTGGCTGCTGGTCACCAAAGCAAAAGACAAGGAGGAAGTTAAGATACAACTACAAGTATCAACAGTGGAACCAAAAGGCTGATTTTTAAGGAGGCTCAATAATGATATCGGTGTTGATCAAGATTAACCGTCCCTGATCATGACCAAGTGCAACATCACCAACCTTACACAATGGTTACAAAACACAACGTGTGACCTGGTTTAAGGATAGACGTGTGCAAGGCAGGGTCAGCGCATCTACGAGATATCAGTCGCCTCTATTTTGTGTTTGTTTTTCTTAACTGCATTTCTTAAAAATCTGTCCTTCTTTGTTTCAAGAGTGGTGTTAATTATCACCAAATTGTGTGGAGAAATATCTCAGGATTAAATATACCGGGATTTTTTCCCTGCACTTGACCAGTTTTTATGCAAATCATGGGCATCGGTTTATGGTGTGCCACATGCAAATAAACAAGGTTCTGTGGAAGACAACATAACCTAGCTGATGTCATTCAAACAGTTTTTGCTGGAGTAGTATGCATGCTAAACTTCAGTTTTTCTGTTATCTGTGTATGTTGCCTTCAGAGGTGATCAAGTACATTGACAAGAACTGTGTCATTCCAGCTGCCTGTGTCACAATAGTTGACTTCTGCCTGTTTACGCAATATTCTCCAGTTCTTCCTTCTGTAGGTGAATTTCTTTGCAACAGTATTGAATGTCTTTTCCTCTTTTCTTTTCTTTTTTTTAGGTGTGATCTTGGCTGCTGCTTGATTCCCTGTCTGATTGACGACCTCAAGGATGTGACACACACCTGCCCTTACTGCAAGGGTTACATCTACACATATAAACGTATATGCTAACCACCGACGGCTGTATGCTCCAGAGACATGCACATGCACACACACACATACACTCACAGACCCTCCTGCTGGTAGTGACAGGCTTCTCCCCCCTCCTCCATTTTTGCAAAGTGTTGTGTAGCCCTCTTAAATTGTAAGTGCAGTTTTCTCATTAGTTCACACTATATTTACTGTATATATCTTTCAGCCGAATTCTTTCATGTATAAATATGCATTTGAAATGTACAGATCTCACTGATCAGATAATGTAGAGCACCAAATCATCCACAGAGATGGATAGGCAGCAGGCACAGGTGCGTCTGATCTTTTATTGGAAACCTGAGGAGACAGCTGATAATGTCCCCGATCATGGAGACAGTCTCACCTGAGGAGACAGCTTATAATGTCACGCATGTTAATGGAAAAAAAAAAACACTCTGTATAAACAAGCAGCCTTAGCTAGAGAAAGCTGTGAAAAATGGTCACTTTATTTGCAATCACCTGTGAATCCTGCCGAGAAGGAAGCGTATTCATTTAAATATGCTGGTTTAGCTTTGTGTTCTTTAATTTATTGAAAATATTTAATCCAATATTTTAACAAGCTAATATTTAGAACTGTGAACACCTTATTTGTCTGTCTGATAACCGTCTTCTAACAGACCTGTTTTTTTTTTCCTTTTATTATTACCCCTTTTGAATGTTATCACACTAACAAACCATTTTTAGGCCAGTGAGCTGGTGTCTTTTGTTTGTTTTCAGGACGACCAGGATTGATTTAACTTTCTCTAACTTATATTACTCTCCTGGGCTTCAGTTATTAGTTATATGACTTAGTGGTTTATTGTTGAGCTGTAAACACATTTGAATCCCTCTGTCCTTGATGTTTTTTAATTTGGTAATAAAGCCAAGATTTGCACTTTAAGTTGAAGTTAAAATCCCACCCCTTCTGATGCATTCTTAAAAACCATCAACCTCAGCTGTCACTGGTGCTTTAGAAAAGTTACAACCTATACAAAAATACAACCTATCATGAGAACAGGCAGTTTATCATTTTGGATTCTACCTGTTTTTTTTTGTTGGCCAATGTATGCACTTAGTCAGAGTACATACAATCAGAGTGGAGCTTGCAGGCAGTGTAGTACTGGAGACATTTTGCATGTCAGCTCAGTTATTATCACGTGTCCTCTCACTCTGTTTGTCTGATTCAGTGCTCCACAGTAGTTTATCTTTGAAGTTTTACTGTCGGCTGATTAACTGTTGATGCCACAGTACACAGGTAGTTAGTTTAAAATCACAAGCAGGCAATCACCTCCAAAAAAAGTGTGTTTTCAAACTACAGTTGTGGCACCATCATCACATCTGTTTGGCCTGTAAACCCTCCTGATATGACATCAACCCTTGAAGAGTACCTGCATTGCTCAGATGCATGTTAGATTACTGATTTAAAAAAAATGTCTTTGGACTAAATAGAGACTTCTAGGAATAAGCTTCAGATAAATGATTGTATCGCACATCTTGAAAAATAACATAGTGACTCCAGTGAGATTACTACTAACAACGAATCAACTAATGTTCCAGCACAGCATGCCTAAACTGCCATTCACCTTTACTCACCAAGTGCAGAGTTTGTCTGCATGGACCACACATCAGAATAAAGAAATCTCACCGGCTAGCTCCTTGACTCTTTGGGTTTGAATTTATCCTCATTAAGGCTAGCTAAGCTGTGCAAGAAAGTCGATTTTCAGTTGAAGGATTGCATTGAACTTTTAATACAAAGTACTGTATGCCATTGTTGTGGATAATGCTGGTATGCATTGCTCTCTAAATGTCTGTGATATGTATAACTATGTAAGTCAGAAATTTGTTTGACTGTTGTATACAGTTACTATTTTATCAATAAAAGTCAGAAGAAGATCTTTCATCCAAACTTTAATTTATTGTTTGAAGTGATGCTGTTCATAAATGTCATCCACACGGACAGAAAGAAATATAGTTTCTTTGACAGGATCTTCAACCTGAATAAAGGCGGCAAAAACTGGAAATCATTCAAAACAAATTCAACAAGTATTAACAGTGAACACAAGCTCAAAAACAAGAGTTTAAGTATCAATTCATCTCAGGATGTAATACATTATAAAGTTCAAAGTGCAAAAGTTTCAGTCTCTCCATCTGTGTCCACACTGAGCGTTGCAGCATTTGTAGAAAGTTGTCATCGGCTCATCAGCTGATCTGGTCTGAATCTGCATGAAATATGCCCGAGGATGCCCACACTTCGGACAAGTTTCTGTTAAGAGACATTATATTAAGTTTTAAAATTGTCTTTGAAACCACAGGTATATTTGTATTATACTGTTTACAATACAGGACATTGCATATTGAAGCTGTAAAAGCTTATCTCATAAACATTCATCACAACAAATTGTTTCCAGAATTTAAGAAACCTTATTCAGAATATAAAAGCATGCTCATTCTCGTGAAATAATGACATTTTTACGGAACTTTGACAAATATGTTGGAGTTTAGATTTTACTTAAAAGCAGCAACAGCTGTGAAGAAGTGAAATAGTGAAACAGTAACACACAAAAACCGCCCAAAGATGACACCTGCAGGGGTTTATACACATCCCTTTGGCATTAGGGGAGAGTGGGGTAAGATGAGCCATTTTTTCACATTTCAGATCACTACATCGAGACAATCATAGTTTTGTCTCTAACTAGTGTATCTGCATATATTTCAAGATGTTGTTCAATTGATGTATAAAACAAATTTAAAATGATCTTTTCTGGTCTGAACACAATTCTAACAAAACTTATGACAGACTAAATTCACTTTCAAGAGTGAATTATTATTATCATTTTTTTAAATAAATGTCTAACACCTTTACCCATATGCTTCTTGCTAGGGCCAGGCCGATACCGATCAGGGAGGAAAAAATACGATTACCGATTAATAGGCCGATTTTTACATTTTTAAAAGAATTTATTAAAATATAAATATATATACTGTAGATATCTACAGTAGGTATCTACAGTAAACTATATAATGTAGATATACTGTAGGCTACTGCTCCTCACACTGACAGGAAGACTGACTGATCAAACTCGGACCAGAAAAGCATTTTCAATCTGAAAATATCGGCCAAAATGGGCGAGTTTTGCCCGATTACCGATTAGTCTCAAACGGGCTAAAATAGGCCGGGCCCTGATGCCCATCTCTTAATTATTTGATCAAATGATCAATTTCTTTTACCATTTTAAAGCAACAGGGGGTGACTCAACTTACCCCACTCTCCCCTATACTTTACAATGCTGAAATGTTAAATACGTTTAATAGAACTGTCACTGTCTTCTCAAAAGCCAAGTCAGCTTTGTTCAAAGTGTAGATAATGTTAGTTTGAATGTCACCCACCTGGAGTTGAATCCACGTTTTCCCAGGCTGCAGCACCACCGAGAACATCATCCACCTCTTTTAGCTTTGGATACTTTCTGTTGTTTACCTGTGGGAGAGAAAAATCACGTCTTTTCAAGGGACCTGGAGCCATGTGTAAAACTCTGAACAGTATTTTAGACTTATCTAGTGGATAATATGATAAAACTTAACTCACCTTTCTCGTAATGTTGTGAACATACGGACAGGTGTTGCAGGCAAATCTCATACACTTCTGTCCTTCCTCGACGATTAACACGTTACCACAAGTTGGACAAAAAAGGAGCATTTCGATAGGTATATGTAAAGATTTTAATCAGCCCCAAACTTATCTTATAACTCAATATTACAACAAATAACGAGTCAGTAAAAAACTGCTTAATTTTCCTTGCAGTGTAGACTGTTAGCATGTGGAGCCATAGACATTATATACGTAGACGCCTCAAAACCTGACGCTGCCTGTTGGAGCTCTCGTATCAGCGCGGCCGCCATCTTGGATAGGTCCCCCGTGTGCCTCCAGTGCATTAAGGTAAGTAAGAATCCCCAACCATATTGATAATAACTCTCTGAATCTCGGCCCGATTTTCACACTGTTTGGTTTGTTACAACGGCAGGGATGTAGCAATAATACAGGACAATGTCACACATTGAAAATAAAACATATATATTTTTCAATCCTGTTTGTGAAATGTAATCCTACGTGAGCTGGTTACAATGCTGCGTCGGGTTTTTCAACCATAGAGTGCAAAAAAACGGGCATAGTTGCTCTTTTGCCATTGACCCCGTTTGGCTCTTGAGCAAACCTGGAGTGGGGAGACCCACCCAATATGGTGGTGAAGCTGGATTATGCTTCAGCACGTAACGAGGCGTCTACGTGTATAATGTCTATGTGTGGAGCGGCGTTGTGGAAGTTGATGAAACTAAGTGTAACCGTTTTTAAAGCACGATGGGAAACAGTATAGAGACGGGAAGTAATGTTTTCTCATTCATATATTCACAACAAACAACTATAAATCTATAATATATCAACATAATATTGATTAATCTACAATGCCATTCTCGGGTAAAAGACAAACATAATTAGCTATTTTTTGGACTATTGGGAACCTTTGCAATGATCCACGGTTCCCTTCCGGAAATCAATAACTATGGCACACATGATTTGTTTACATCATGGTGGGAGCTCTTCACATGTAGTGTAGTTGCCTTTTGTGAATCTTTCTCACATTTTCGGAGGCTTTTTTCTTCTTGTTGTTTGTTTATTAGGAAGTTCAAACCGGTAATGCTTTAAAGAACACCGCTCATCTGTTGGTTCCCTGAATGGTTCTAGAGTCTGACTGATGATGGAGGGTCAGAGTGAGGACGTTGTGACAGGAGAGGGGTTTGTTAAAGATGAGGAGGTGAAAAAAGAGGATTTAACAGAGGAGGCGACTCCTGACGCTGAAGAGGAGGACGAGGAGGCTCTTCCTCACTCTGAGATCCTGGATATTTTCGAGGAGGGACTTGCCAGACTTGTACAGGACCCCCTACTGTGTGACCTGCCAATCCAGGTTGGTTGCATGTCAACACATAACAGAGATTACAACCGGTTAAAAAATATACCAAAGGAGAGGGTGAAAAGTCATGCATTTAATTCACAGTATTTTCTTACTCTGTTGTAAGTGTGTCCTGAAATGATTATTATTGGATCTTACTCTTTGTAATCTGTTGTAATCAGTTATTTGTTTAAGTTTTCATTAAACAAATTTGTTGGTTTATGGCTTTCTTCAATTGCGTCCCTATTGCTTATTGCTTTGCTCAACATCTCTGTATGACCAGTGAAAAGAAATGAAAATATCAATGAGAAAACTGACTTTCTGTTTTAAAATGTCAATACCTTAAACTGCTACCACATGTCAGACATTTGGTGAGTATGCGGAAAAGTAACAACAAAAGTGTATATACAGTATGTTTAGATAGATTTGTGTCCACAGGATGCACCCAAATCAATATCAATCAATTCAATCAAATTTTATTTGAGTTGCACCAATTCACAACAGTCGTCATCCCAAAACACTTTTCAAAGAACAAGAGCAGGTCTAGATCACGCTCATTGTTTGATGAAATATCAAGAACCAACTTAAGATGGGATTTGGCCCATCCCATCTAACATAAGTAACAGTGGCAAGGAAAAACTTCCTTTTAACAGGCAGATACCTTGAGCCGGACCAGACTCATGCCAGACCAAGCCGCTGCTGGGTTGGGGAGGAATACAGAGACATAGGGGGAGAGGGTGAGGGGGGAGAGAGAGAGAGAGAAAAAGAGAACAAGATAGAGGGAAGGAGAGAGAGAATGAGTAAGGGAGAGAGAGTAGAGGATGAGGGTGAGAGAGAGACACAGGGGACCGCAGCAATGTTAAAACAACAGCAGCAACAACAACAACAGTTTAGAGTGGAAATTTTCCAGAGGATCTCTGATAAATCTCTTTAGTAAATATTAATTATCAAGATCATTAATTACTGGTCAAAGTCTGCACTGGTTTACAGAAAAAGTCTTGTACATTTTTCCTGAGATCTGATCAGTCTTTTCCTGTAGGTAACTCTGGAAGAGGTGAATTCTCAGATCGCCTTGGAGTACGGACAGGCCATGACAGTGAGGGTTTTGAAGGCAGATGGTGAAGTCATGCGTAAGAACTCAGATTTGTATCTTGTTTGTTTGACTGAATTTGATGCATAACAAAAGAAAGAAAACTACATTACTACAGAGTGTATTTATTTAATTATTGTCAGTTTGTTTGCAATGATAACATCTGTATGGCATCATAAAATATAAAATATAAATAAAAAAACCTTTCTCCCATAGCTATCGTTGTTGTGCAGAGTGCTACTGTGCTGGACCTGAAGAAGGCCATTCGCAGATTTATGGAGCTGAAACAACAACGTGAAGGAGGAGTGAAACATGTCAGCTGGTAAACTCAATGAAAACATATCAGTGTTCAATATATTTAAGCAAAAAAAAAAAAAAAAGCTTTGTCACATTCTAACTCGGTTATTTCACAGGAGGTATGTTTGGAGAACCTATAATTTGGTATTTCAGGGAGAGAAGCTTGAAGATGACAAGACCAGGTTAAAAGAGTAAGCCCATGAAATAATCTCTTTCTTGAATTGTTATGCTGTATTTTTCATTTGCACTGTCTAACACTGTTTTTGATTTTAGCTATGGCATTAGGAACAGAGATGAAGTGACGTTTATGAAGAGACTCAGGAAAAAGTGAAAGGTTGCTGCTCACACTCGTCCTGCAGGAAAACACCAGCTCCTGAAGACATTAACAAACTTTCTAAAGTGTTCACAATGTTTGACTTATTTAATATGGAGCGTTTTGCAACATGTTCAGTGTTGTCTCTTCACAACTGCAAGTCACCCCCCTGAAGTAACAGCATCTCAAAGATGTCACATGTATATACTGTAAGATATGTTGAGGTTTAAGCCTCAGACTGTCAGACTGCAACTGTAAAATGATTGTGTATAGCTGCCTGCTATTATTAAACTTTGTACATTTCAATAATTTTGGTGTCACCTTTCACTTTTCTTAAGCATTGCAACAAAATCATCCGGTAGCATTTTCCAGAGAGCTCATATGCCAAAGAGACCTGATGATTTGAATATTTCCTGATACAGGCAGACATTAAATGCGCTTGATCTCATGTGTCTGTTGCCTGTTGTGGATACGCCCGGAGCTGTTGAGTAAATTAGGTAAAACACATTCTTTCTTTTTGATATTATAATCCTCTTTCAAATGAAAGTTAACATTTTGTATCTGTAATGTCACTTGTGACTTTTTACAGTAGGTACATTTATAGGTTTATTTGCATTGCCTTTGTGTTGAATGAATCGATGGATGTGACGTGATATAAAACTACGTTTCTGAAAGACGAGAAAAACTATGTATAGGTATATTGCATTTAATGACTACACATTTTTTTATCAGCCATCTTATCTTAAAAAAAAAAAGAATGTGGTTTTTAAGTTCTACAATAGAATTTAAGGAAATGAACCTTGCATGGTCCACTTTTGGAGAATTACAAAGTCGCACAGGCTATACATCCTCAGCTGCATGCCTATTTGATTCAGTTTGAGGCAGTGTCGTGCTAAAATACTAAACATTTAAACAGTTTCTAACCTTCAGTCAGGAGTTAATTAACATTAAATTAAGTGTTTTTTAAGGTTATCTTTAAATTTGAAATAAGTCTGCATTCAAAATTGAAAATTGAATCAAAATGGGTTGAAATTTTGAGTGAAGAATACATTTCAGCCATTTTTTAAACAAAAGGTTGAGTCACTGACTCTACCTCTCACTGCTCATGTGGTTTAGTGTCTTAAAGCAAGAGAATCAACCCTAAAACTGTCCCCGTAGTGTGTGCATTGGCTTATTTATCTATGATAGGTGCCTTACATAGCAGCTTTTGTTATTTCTGAATGTAGCATGAATGCATGACTGTTACATGTAATGTAAAAAGGCTATTGGTGGTCAGAGGACTTAGTTGCTTAGAATTTAGTAACTGCATCAGTAAATTCTGAGATCTGTGTGGGAATGATGCTTTATAAATGCACCAGCTTTGTCTTGTCCTGCTGTATTGGGGATGGTGATTCAAACTTGCCTTTTATCGAGATGAACGCAAACAGTTACAACCAAGTAGCAAACCATGACGTGGGGGAAAAAAGTAGAGCCAACACAGACGTACTAATGCTGATTTTGAATGTCCGTTTGAGTCTGGTTGCAAAAGCCAATAAATCCTCATTTACACCTGTATGTTAAAATGTCCAATTTAATTTAATGTTAATGCACTTATAGTCGGTTATTGTTTGCCTAGTTCACTTATCAATTCTTGCAATCTATTGCGAGCAAGTCCATTTGTTTGGGTCAAAGACTGAAGCTTACAGTTATATAAATACATTTGCATGATTGGTGCTTGGTTGAGTTGACTGACAGGTGGATTTTTACCAGGAAGCTTCAGGCGTGGCTTGGCTTCACCTCTTATGTTGGAAGATAAAAGTACAGTGTCCAGAGTTAATATCTAGCTATCAAATTGAAGAGGTAGATCTTGTCAAACATCTGTACTAATTCATATTTTATTATTATCATGTCTACCAACACCGATTCCCCAACACAATCACTCTCTTCTTTTTTGTCCTTCCCTCTGCTGTAAGAATGAATGAAAGAATGAAAAAAAACAACATTATTAATACAGGTATTCATGTAGAGACAGCCTTTGGTGACTTAAAACAGTTTTTTTGTTGTGCTTTTGCTTCAAAATGAAGTCCACAATTACCATTGTTGGTTGTTGCTTGGGTTTGAGGTCTTTTATAAGACTTAAAAGTCAACCAACAGGTAGCCAAGTGAAGGTCTGCATCTCTGTAAACTGCTTTACAAGTTATTCAAATACTCTTACAGAAGCTGGACAGGTCTGGTAATTGTATTTGAAAGATCATAAAAGATTACATGGAGAGCAAGGAGTGAAACTGTTTTTAAAGTTTTAAGTCTAGTTCACTGCATCAATAATATTTTTTTATTGTCAAATGATTACCATTAAAATGTTCCTAGCTGTAACACTAAGAAGTCCAGTGTCATTATCCTCCCTTTATTAATGCTTAAGGCGGACATACATTCATACTTCATATTTTACAGTCATAAAGAACATAAACACAGAAGACTCCATCTTCTTTTCAGCATCCACCATGGCTTCCTCTGACTCCAAGCTGAAACAGATCACTCCAGAATTGAGATATGTTTCACTCGAGCGACAGGAGCTCCCGGACAGAAAGAAAATGATGGGAGTACTTGAGGAGCTGAGGAATCATTGTGATTTAAAAAAAACAGGTAGTAAAGATAAGAACAGACAGATATCTGCAACATGAACTCTTTCATTCACTTGGTGTCCATGAAATCTCTGATTTAATTTGTCAATCTGTATTTTTTTCTTTTTTTACCAGATGGAGCCACATCTCATCATAGTCACATTTGTAGCGTTGATAAAAAACTAAAAGAACCAACAGAAAGATCATTTGAAGTCCAAAAAAGTCTTGAAAACATCATTAATGCTAAAGAAAAGAAGACTGAGCAGAAAGGTGAGTCTCGGGGCCTGATTTACTAAGACTCCACATACGCAGAACTAAATTGCATCTACATCCCATCAATCTTCAGAAGATGAGCTAGCATGTTTATTTGCAGGTGCTATGATGGTTACACATATTTAAACACTCAAACCTTTAGTAAATCAGACCCTAGGTTTATACAACTAATTATTACACCAATATATATAGTGCTTGTTTTTTTTAACACATCTTTTTTTCTTTGTAAGGGAATTATGTGCCATCCAATCCAATAACTGAACCTGTTGAACCGCCTTCCTGTTCAAATATTTTCTTTGTTGAAGCTCCGCCCACTTTCTCTGGTAAGTCAGTGGTGCACAAATGTCAATTTTTTGGGTCTCTGCACTGTCACCTATTGAGAAAGGCTGTTTTTACACTCTATCTACAATACTCAGTGCACCAATTTATTGTGGTATAACTTAATCTACTGTGGGGAACTTTGAACTCCGGTCCGTGTCTTGCAAATGTTTTAACAGTGTCTTCTGATAAGAAATCTCATCCTGCTGATTTGAAATAGTCAGACTTATCATTTGTTGTAAATATTTATTGTTGAAATTGTAAAAAAAACAGTCTGTTTATTTAGCTGCTCAGCCGACATCTACTCCCTCACACTGGTGTCAAGCATTATAATGTAAAAATCATCCATCGTGTTGCAGATGCTCTTGTTTGTTTTTGTAGATCATAAAAATGCATCAGTTTGAATTTCAGTCTATTTCATTGATGTTGAAAAACTCCTCACTGGAGCTTTAATGAAGTTTGGGTAATTTCATGTCTTTCCACAGCCCCTAGAGTGTATTTGAATTCGGAAAACCTCCCTTTGAGACCATGCAGGACTCAGTGTCCACAGTGTCATCAGCTTGTGGTGACTGAGACTGTCACCTCGGTCAGCAGTGGGACCTGGCTGATGTGTTTCCTCACAGCTTGCATAGGGTATGGCAGAGTTCCTTCTACCCTGATAAAATATTTGCACTGGAATCATTATCAGGCTTTTATGGGCTTCATTGTGTTTGTTCAGCTGTTGCTGCCTCCAGAATTATTGACATTTTATTTCATTCTTCTTCCCTTGTTTTTTTTTTACAGCGGTGTGGCTGGTTGTTGCCTCATTCCCTTTTGCATCAAAAGGTTCAAGTCAACCACACACAAATGTCCTCTGTGTCGATCACAAATCCAGGTAACAAAATTGCTCTGAGAGAAAAGCAGCATTTGAGAAGGCGGAAACACTGACCAGATAGTGTCGACTCACCAGTGAGGATGTATTTCCGCAGTATGGCTTCCTCAAAGGGTCACTCCATCACCAAATAACTCTCCATCGTGCAGGTTGCAGTGAATATCAGTGGTTTGGGATCGAGTTTGTTAGCTCAGACATAAAGATGCATTCACTTTGTGTGAATGGAGCATATGTGAAAGGGAACATCTGTTTCTGTGGCTGACACTTGTTGTGTAATTGTGTATTACATAAAGACTATGCAATTTCATCTATTCCTGAATTAAAAGACCAAAGCAATAATATAACAGCACTTAAACCCTATCATACGACAATCCCTCATTTCCCACCGAGGTATGTAATGCTTAAAATCTCCACCAGGTATCACTGTTGTTTTCCTTTAACCAGGGCATGAAAATGAACAAATCTCTCCTGACATGTGAACTCTATCCATCTAAATGCACCCTATCCAGTGGTTAATGTTTCTCACTGGATAGGCAATGTTTTACACTCTTGACAATATTTTATTGCATTGAATCAGAAACTAAAAATGACTATAAAGCTTATGGCATTTTCAGCTATTTACAGCTTGTTTCCTTTGAGGGATGGTGCAGATGGATGTAGAGGCAGAAAAGCACAAAAAACAAATATGGCGAGCACACCAGAAGAATTCGCTTGGCGACATGATAAAACAGAATCTAGACCAGATAAGCAGCTGTTAGAGTGTTGCAGCCAGTAAAAAAAAAGCATGTCTCTAAAAAGTCTGACATTTAAAGTTGTTCCTTCTTTATGATCTTGTTTAACTTTATGTGGTCGGCGCATGTTGTTAAACCTGTCTGGGGCAAAGAGATTGGCATAAATTAATAAAATAGCACCGACTCTAGCTGGCACGTCTTTGTTAGAAATAAAAAGCAGCTATTGTTTTTGTCAGTCCTCCTGTGCTGGGACAGAATATAGACATTTGTTGTTAGTTTTGGCAACCTGCAACGGAGCAGCTGGCTTGTCTGGCTCTTATCTTTGACATCTTGACTCTGCAACACCAAAGCCAAATCAGAATAGCGTACGAGAAAGTTGGCAGAAGAGTGGGAAATAGATTTGCACATGTAAATAATAAACATACCTCTCTTCTATGCGCTGTGTAAAGCATCCCTGTCAGCACTGGAGCCAATCCAGGTGCCATGGTGGAGCTGTTTTCCCTGTGGGTGGGCGGCAGAAACCATGCAGAGGCTTTTTTTGCTTCTACACTCTTCATGATATATGCAAAGGCATTTTGTCAGAATTATTATGAAAGTGAATATAATGGTTTTGTTTCTTATTAAAAAATGTCCTTTATTTAAAAAATGTTCTGTTCCCACTGTTGGTGTTATGGCAGCTTTACCTACAAAAAAACAAAAAAACAAAAAAAAAAAAAAAAGAAAGAAAAAAATCACAAATTGAGTGAAAAAGAATTTTATAAAATGCTGTTAAGTTTTTTCATTGAAAAAAATAAAATCTGTGATACTGTCAAAATTCAGTCTGTCATTATTGATTTACCGTTTGTAGGATTTTCAGTCAATTAACGACAAATGAAGCATTTCTTTACATAGTATAACAACATACAGAAGTTCGCCATAAGCCAATAGCACAGTCTCCAATGATCTTTTTTAAAATGTAAAGAAACTCCCACACTTATATGAAGGTGGTATTCTGCATACAAAAACAATTAGCACACACGTCAACAACATTGCGTCTCTAAAGCTCAATATGACATATCTCCTCTTTTGTACTCTGTCCAGCATTAGGAGCTCTGAAAGGATGAGAAAAATAAAAGAAATGATGGAGAATAGGAGATTAGAAACCAGTTGTGTGTTTGTAGACTGAACGATATTTAGACTGTCCTGTCTGCAGGATAATGTAGTGATCAAAGAATGAACAAAGAGTGAGAGCTGAGGTGAGTTTCAAAGTTTCAATTTCAGACCACAGCGGAGTCAAACTGATTTCAGGGAGGCTTTTCTCCATCAAGTTGCCTTTGTTGGAAAAGGCCTCAGAGTTTACCCAAGACTTCTTAAATCTGTGGGCAGACAGGACCCCTCCACATAATGACCCTGAATCCCTGAATCAACATGTGGTTTCTTTGGTGGAGGCACATCCACTGGAGTATCTAAAAGTCAGTGCTAATAAAAACAGAGGGAGGTTATAAACACACAATATTCAGAATTATTAGCACCAGAGATGACTAGAAGCCTTGAACCAGGCTGTAGGTCTGGAACTATAACATGACCACAGTCCTTCGAACAAGCATCCATACAACAAGTAGTTCAGTTTTGTAAGGAGTGCAAAGATAACCACATAGGGTGAGAGAATGATTCCCTAGTTACTTTACACACACCAGATTTAGTGCATGAACAAACAGCCCAAAGGAACCGGTTTGATGTTTTGCACTGCATCCTTCAGAGGGATTTTCTGTTTCTTAGAATTTATTAGTCTTCAGACTAAAGTCAGTTTTAACAACCAAAAAAAGAGAAACCTGCTTGTTGTACTAAAAAAATCCAGCAGATGGCGCTTTTATACAAACCAATGCAATTTCAGTCGATTCACATTCAGTTGTTGTCACTGAAAGGTAGCTATCACCGATAGTGGAAATCACTCATAATACTGAACGGCTGTAGTCTGCTCTGACCACATTCAAGGGATTTTTCTAGACTTAGATGAATTTGTACTAACTTATTAGTTCAATGACTTAGACCTGGTCTTCACCTGACCCTTCTGACTAACCCTATAGATCAGTGGTTCTCAAGTCCAGTCCTTGAAGCCCACTGCCCTGGATGTTTTGGATGTTTCCCTGCTCCAACACACCTGATTCAAATGATTAGCTCATTATTAAGCCATTACAAAGCTTGATAACGAGCTGATCATTTGAATCAGGTGTGTTGGAGCAGGGAAACATCCAAAACATGCAGGACAGTGGGCCTTGAGGACTGGACTTGAGAACCACTGCTATAGATTCTCCTGGTCCACTAGCAAGTCAGGCAAAGTGACTGGCCAATCAGGTGCAGTAATACTATATGGTAAGAAAACCATCTGATAAGAGCAATGTCAGCAGATGAGAGTATGAATGGATGTAAATGGTACATGGACTATGTTTGCATGGCTCTTTCTCTAGTCCTCTGACCTCTCAAAGCTCTAAAATCTCCAACTCGATGGCTGTGTTGACTGGGGACCTGAATAAACAACAGCAAATGACATATGGCAAATACCATGGCACCCCAAATCAACACTGATGTAGCTGGACATCGAATACCCCGAACTCTAAACCTCTCTGCTTATACAGACCTTGATTTCCAAATGAATGCCAAATAATTTCCGACATATGAGCAACAGTCCAGGTTTTCTCTCCTTAGTCCTGGTAAGAGTCTTCAGACTTTGTCTTCAGTTCAAGGATTGGCTCGATATAGGATATCTGACAGTTGTAGCCCCCTTTTTCCTACAGCGGTCTGTGTGACTTTACCTGACACTCCTCTCAAAGCTTTAGTTAATCCTGTAGTATGATAATCTTTTCCTACTTTATTCTTCCCTTCCAGTCAACTTTCCATGAATCTACTTCTATGCAGCCCTCTGAGAACAGCCAGCTGTTCAGCAATGACAGTCTGTGGTTTACCCTCCTTTTGAAGGGGGTCAGTGATGGTCTTCTGGACAACTGTCAAGACAGCAGTTGTGTGTGCTGGACTAGACCAAGAAATACATGGTGTTAGGAGAGTTTGAATGGTAATTTAGTCAAAGTCGAAATGAATAGAAATAGAAAAATTTAACTTTAACATCAAATGAGTCGAGAATATATCAAACTTTAACTTAACTGATGGGAATACTGGCATTTTTCATCCCCTTCTATTGCTTTGTATACTATAGATAATGTGGAGTTTGCATTTTTGACTGAAATAATGAAATATTTGGTCCATTCAGAGTCAACTTGAATTCCCCAACTCAGTTAACTTTCCGGTGTTGAAGTGTGCACACTCAGAGAGCTTCAAGCAGTAACAATATTCAGTCAATGAGAATCATTTAGAGACAGGATATTTGAGCTTCAAAATAACTTGTAGATTTACAGTGTTTTCCATCTGTTTGTCCACTGGGATAAAATTATTTCCCTGGTCTTTTCCCACCAACGACTATAAAAGGATGTACATTCATTTATATCACATGACAAAATAAAAACAGTAATGTGAAGAGAGAGAAATCATAACTTAGAAATGACACATTTAAAGCTTTTTCCATAGTCATTTCTTTCTCCCTGTGCTGGTCCTTCTTAAGGCAGCCTCCCTGTTCATTCACAGGGTTAAAAGACGCAATGCAGCAATTTCTAAACCGATGCTGCTAAACTTTTGATAAAAGTAGTTTTACAAGTAAAAAAAATCCATTTTATCTTCCAAAAGTTTTTATATTTCAACAGAGGAAACAAAATAAGTCCTCCCTTTAATAATAATAAAAGTTTGTCCATCTGAAATGAAATGACAGCGCTCATTCCCAGTTCAAGGGCAGCTCGTGTGAGTTCAGGAAGTCAGAAGAGAAGACGCCCACAGGTGCTGACAAGTCCAAAGTGTTGGTCCCCTCTGCTGGCACGGACAGGGTCAGGTCCAACCAGTCCATGTTCTCCATGTTGGTGTTTTCATGTAGGTCCAACTCCATGGTAACAACAGGTGAGTGGAGCTCCTCCATCAGCTTCAGTGTTTGTGGCTCGGCTTCAGGCGTGCACAGCGTTCTGTCAAGTAGGGTTTCCAGCTGGGGGTCAGAGGTCAGGGCTGCCAAACTTGTTGCGGAGGGATTGAGTGGTGAGGAAGGCAACTGGGCCACTTGGACCACAGGTGGAGGGCGGGATAAAACCGTGTTGATGGGAAGGATGGTTACACTGGCTGTCACAGGAAGAGGCTTGTCCAGGCTGGGGGGATCCTGTCTGATGAAGGGGGAGATCTCTAAAAGAGCAAGTACAGAACATTAAGTATGAGGGTATCTCAAATTTATTTTGCCCCTGATCTCTGGAAAAATAGAGTCGCAGTAACTCTCACCTCCACTCTCAATCAACACATCAAATAGGTCATCCATCTGCTGGCTCGCCGCAGAGGGACCCTGCAGAAAAATAGAAAACAAAAGCCAGTGTTTCAGCAACTTTAGTACCAACTTGAATAATTCTTTAAGTTGCACTAAACTGCGAGTGTTATCGCTACACTTGCATTCAACAGAAAGGTCAAAAAACATTGGAGTAGTTTGTGAGGAGGAGGTCTATGACTCGCTAAATAATAAGCACTTCAGGAAATATCTGTGTGAAAAAAAAAGATCTTAACTTTATTTAAGCCAGGGGTGGGCAACCATGTACCATGGAGGGCAGAGAGGCTGCAGGTTTTCTTTCCAACCCAAAACTCCACCAGGTGATTTCACTGATTACCTGATCTCTGCTTGGAGTTAAGGTAATCAGTGAAATCACCTGGTGGAGTTTTGGGTTGGAAAGAAAACCTGCAGCCTCTCGGCCCTCCATGGCACATGGTTGCCCACCCCTGATTTAAGCGAACAGAAATATTCTGCGGGTTGACTTCAAACAATGAGCAAAATAAAAAATGTAATTCAGCAGTAGATAAACTGTTTCACTCCTCACTTGTCTCACTCCTTCAGCACCAAGCAAAAACCAAAAGAAACCAGCTGCCCTCACTGCCTAATCACAGGAGGAGGTTGGCCTGGCCAAGAGGAGGGACATAAACAGCAAATAAAATATAAATGATAATTTATTCACAGTAATCATTATCTTTAGCGTTCCCCAATAATTCAAATAATTATACAAAGAATCAATAGGCTCCAACAGCAAGTTTGAGTTTCACCTGAATAGCCGTTAGCATGCCACGTGTCTGTTTAACTGCATCCTCGTAGCGCGGAGGGTCTTTGCACTTGACTGTGAATTTTGGCTCCTGCAACAACAAAGTTGGCTGGCTGGTGCAGGGAGACTTCTGAAAAATTAGACGAATGTTACATAAACCAAAACTCATGCAGTTAAAACTGTACAGAGAGATTAATGAGCCATCCTGTACCTTGTCTTCCAGATCCAGGGTACCAGTTTGGCCAGAGGCGGCTCCCACAGGACATCCACTGGCTTGGAAAGTGTTGAGTAAGCTTTGAGCCGCACCATCCATCCTCCAAGTCTGAAGAGACACAAAGGCGGGTGAGCAAAGAGGATTAAGTGAACGTATTTGCGCCATCAGGGCTGCGAAATGGTTTATGCTACATATACAGAAGTGATCCGGCTGGCGGGGCGGCTGGATTGGCGTCTCACCCCTTCAGCTAATCAAAGTACAGATTTCACTTAACGCAGCAAAAATCCCTCAGGTCACAGCTGAACAGATTTTTGTGTAGATTTTAAGTAGACATTTATGTTCATGAAAGGTTCAATGACTCTCGTTTCAGTGTTGTGTTTTCTCTTGCTGTCCCTCCTCTACTTTGCTTATCTTGTAAACAGCGCTGAAGGATCCCTTATTTGTCAACAGAGATATAAATCATGATGCCACATACCCTCTTTTAAGAACCAGACAAACTAGCTGTTAACTTCACCAAAAATTAAGTTTGCATGTTTAAAAAAACTCAATGTTTATTACTAGCAGGCAGAGGCAGCCCGTGTAATAACCAATGTGTTTTCTTACCTTTGTCAGTGGCTCAGTCTGAGTCCCACATTGCTGTTGTAATACTCCTGAGGCCTCTATTTTCTGTGGCATCTGTCCAGAGGTCTGGAGGAGGCCTGTGGCTGCGCCGCTAACAGTGGAGTGTAATTTGAGGCTGTTGGCAGGGAAAGATGCAGGCAGGAGGATATGGGCCTCAGCCAAGACTGGCTGCAAAGTTTCAGTCTGGTGGGTGATGATGAACTGATTTTGAGAGGCTAAGTGGCTCTGATCTGCAGTCTTCTCTTCTTTGATCAACGCTGGCAGACCAGGAGAGCTACAGCAGCCTGACGGGCTCCGGTTTTCTTCTTTGACCTGGATAGGAGTGAGAGGGCTCAGCTGAGGCGGGGAATCTCCTTGCTGCATCCTCTTCTCTACCTCCAGTTGCATCTTCAGCTCCTCCACAAGCCTCTGCTCCTGCTCCAGCTTCCTCATCAGCTCCTCAATCTGGCGCTCCTTCTCATGGAGGCGTTTGTCCTTCTCAGAGTCTTTCTTACCGGACTTGGTCTCTTTGGGACAGTCTTCAGGTTGAGTTCTTTGTGGGGAGTTTGCACAGGGAGCAGTCTGACTCGGACATTTATTATCTGTAAACTTTGCGGGGCGTTCTGCCACACCACAGTCCTCTATGCCCAGACTGGACACTTTGGAGGCGATAGGGGACACAGGCGGGGTTAGATTTGTGTTTTCAGACTGTAAAGCTGCTGGGACAGCTGTTGTCTCCACAGACGCAGCAACAGTCTGGTTGTTGGAGCTTCCCTGATACATCTTAAGTCTCTCTATCAGATCTGTTTTTGTGCCAGAAACAGGCAAAGATCTGAGTTTGAGTTCCATTTTCAGCTCAGCAACCTTTGAAAGAAAACAGGTTTATTCGTCACAGTTCTCAAAATGCAGCACAGACTGTATAATTAGGAATAAAGTGTGACTGTGAGGCAGAAAAGTGTCACCTTCATCTCATCCAGATTTGCTGGTAATCGATCCAGGTCGCGGTTAGCTGAAGTGTGCCGAGGCTGCACAGGGGTCGATGCAGAGTTTCCACTCAAAACAGTCCTGGAACAGCTGGTTTGCAATTCAGTTGTTGGTCTGTTGAAATGAGACAAGAGGGAAAAGGGAGCACAGATTGAAGAGGGGATCTTTAGTATCAAGGGAGCTGTTATTTATTTTTCATCCAAGATTCTGTGCAGGAAGCAGTGGGCAGGAAATTAAAAGGACTCCAGACAAATAACAGCTGTGCATCATGCTATCGAAACCAAAGTGTGAAATAATTAAAGTTATTAAAATATATATTTAAATATTTCAGCTATGAAATGATACAACGCTGTTACTTAAGCATCTTTTCAGGGATGGTCAGAAGCTTACCCTGCACTAACAGCCAAATAAAAATGTGTAAAATAAAGATGTTTCGATAACAGTAAAAGTAATTACAGAGGACACAAGGGCCAAATACAAGGACCAAAACAAAGACAAACATATCAGGATAATGAATATGAAGTATTATTGTTTACTTAAGAATGTGAAAAAAAAGCTGTTTACAGTTATATGAACATATAGTAAAAGCATCAGTGTCTAGGGGCTGATCCAGAGATGGTCCAAGCCCCCTTTTGAAATCCAATTGGACACCCTATCAAAAGTAATGTATTACTTATTATCTATATATCAATATCTCAATACCATGACATGAAAATAAGGGTGATATGGTAACTAAAATTTAGCTTTGCTCCCAGAACTTTGATTGGGGTGTACTCATTTTTGCATCCTGATTTTAAATAGAAAAAAACACTTTTTCATATGCAACTAAAAAATAAGTCTTGTTTGCAATCAATGGCCTACATTTGGGGGAGTATTTTGTTGTATCGTCTGACATAGAATATGTTGATTTTGAAAGGAAACTAAAGGTCACACTGAGCAATAGACGGCTATTAGACGTCTAGTTTTTTAGACCTAATTTCAAACGTCTAGATTCAGTACGTTTTTATACGGAATTCAGACTTTGCACTTTAACCCATTATTTAATAACTATTTATTTCAAAAAGCAACTTTGAGTTGATTAACTGATCTCTTAGTACTTAACCAAAATAATTATTATAGCTGTTGTGCAATAGACAGTATAGATATAGCCCACATTTAGACTTGGTCTAAATTTAGATGCCTAAAACGATTTCATTTTTAGACCTGTGGTAGTCTGATTTTAGACCAATTGTCTAGGTTACATTAAGACATCTATTAGACCGCTTTTAGACCAAAAAATGCCCAGTGGGGTGTACTTATTTATAATGAGCACTGTACATCTTTTTAAGCCTTCAAGAATTAAGACAAGAATACTTTAATACTGTCTCTACATGTTACTTTCTAAAGTTAAAGAGTGATAAACATCCTGCTTAATGTTGATAATCAAAGTTAATGTGAAAGACAGGTGAATAACTCTTGTTTATTTCAGGTATGTTCATGCAGACTTCATGCAGCCTGGATCAGATTTGAGATAAAATATCTGTTAGGAGACACTCCTATCCGCAGCTGTGTACAAAGTGTTTGTTTGTCTACGTGGAGACGTACTTTGGTGTTGCAGGAGAGCCAGTCTGATAGTTGTACTGCTGCTGTTGCTGGCTCAAGATCTGGAGCTGCAGAAACTGCTGCTGCTGCTGCAAAAGGCGGGCATAAGCCGAATCCATTGGCATTTCGTTGAACTCCTGCTTCTGGTCCGGAGGAATATACTGATGGTACTTTAACTTTTTCACCCGGGGTTTGGACTCTCTGCTCCTTTTGCTGCGGCTTTTCTCACTGGGCGGCTTGGCCAGGCTTTGCTGCAGAACACAACAGAGAAAAAAAAGGGGAATGCAAAACCCGAGTGTACCATCTGGAGGATATTTGATCCCTGTGACTGATCTCCATCCAGTTTATCAGGGAATACAGTCAGCACTGCCAGATCAGACTTGGAGTGGGTGCTGGATCTTGATAGCTAGTAGCATTAAGGTGGGGCAGTGTTTCTGACACCTGATGAGAACTACAGGATGAGGAAATGGGTAGTGGAAGAGGGAGTCTTATTGTTTTCACACCTGCAGTTACAGGATACACATGAAAATGGCTTGGCACAAGAGCTGCGGGTTCTAGCAAAGAAACTAGAAACCAAAGCTCACTCAAGCAAGGACACACCCTCCAATTTGTCAAACTCACTCCTGTGTGCTTTCCAAAGAAGGGAGGGTTCATCTAATTCCCAGAGGATAGCTGGAAAATGATAACAGCACAAGATAGTTCTCCAAATCCTTCCTTTCAATTTTGACTTACACAGCCTTGTCGAGGAGAGCCAACATTTCAGTGGGCACATAAAGACACATTAAATGTGGCTGGCACAGATTTTTGAGGAATGACTCCAGACCATTTTCTTCTTTGAGCTGAATCTGACTTGTCTAATTACTTCTGAAGCGACAAAACAAGGACTCTGTATCTTCTGATATGACAATGCTTAACACATTTCAGAAAGAAACTACGAAATAAGGAAACGAGGTGGTAAAAAACTAAAAAATCTCACAAATTTAAAACCACTTCTCCTCACATGAAGTTAAAAGTCTTGGTCAAACTTGAGCTTTTAGTAAATCTCTGAGGCTTACCTTCACTAGAACTGGTCCTTGTGTGACACTAGAGATGACAGCATTGACTGGCTGAGGCGAGGATACTTGTTGTTCGCCGGTGGAGACGGGGTTGACTAAATCCGATCGTGACTGCGAGTTAGGTGGTGGGCCCTGCTAAGAAAAACAAAGACGGAGAGAATCCCTGTGATCCAGTCAGTAAGAACGCTGAAGCTGCTACGCCTGTTCAGCATCATCCCGGGCAAGAGCAGATAAGCTCCAATATAACCAAAAACAGATTCACAAACTTTTCAAAAACAGAAGAATGAGAACAAAATGTTCCACTGAATCAAAAATGGACCAAACACAGCAGTACAGTTAGTGCAAATGAAGACGAACAAATGTTATGATGGAATTTATTCACTTCATTTTTAAACAAACGGTTTAATCTGCTTATCTGGATCGGCTGCTGCTAGAGGGATAATCTGTCTGCTCTTGTTTAGAGCTGTATTAATATACTGGAAACGTTCATGCTGTTGGTCTACCTGCACAGGAGAGTTCATCTGGGAGGGATAAGAAGTGGCTTCAGTCCCTTCAGACTCTCTTGGAGAGGTGCAGCTGGGAGACTGGTGGCTGGCAGGCTGTTTGGGTGATGAAGAGTCACTGCTGTCCTCATCAAAGCTGTAAATATCAGGCTGCTTATTGGTCTGACCACCTGTGGGACATACACTGGCTTGTAAAAAACTCATTACTCTAATTCAAAATAATATCAATGATTTAAAAAAAAATTCTTTAAATATTTTTGATGCAATGATTCTTCCTGTGTCGGTGTTAAAGACCCAGTCCAATGAAAATCATGTTTTTCGTGTTGTCTACGTGTTCATTTGATATTTTTCTGATGCTACAGGACAAAGCATGTGAAAAGTAAGTGCGAAATTGCATTTTTGAGTATTTCTGCGTTCAAATAGCTGTGAGTCTCTCACAAACGCAAACAGAAGGTTCAGATTCAGTGAGATTTCCTACGTAGCAAATCCAAGCTCCGCCCCCCACAGCCCAGGAATTGCAATGCTAGTAAAAAAGCTAATAATGATGTTACCTTTCATCATGTCCCTAAAGACATTAGTGTCCGAGAGCTGAATGGCTCCTATGCTACCTGCCACTTCTATTACACCGGCAATGTTAGGCTACTAGTGTGATGAGGAGTGTGCAGAGCAGCGCTGTCTCCGCCCATGACTCAGAGGCGAATTGCTAATAGGCTAGGTGATTTTGGCCAAAAACTTCATAATCAACATTTAAAGACCACTGAGAAAACTTTGAATAGTTAAAAAAAAATATGATTGGAGTGGGACTTTGAGCACTTTGAATCGCCTTGTTGGTGAAATGTGACATATAAATCAACTTGCTTTGCGTTGATGATGATTTCAAGTCATCCGTGAGCTCTTCATGTGACAGCGTGATTTCTATTCTAGTCATAAAGTCTAGATAAAGTTGGTGCTACATGATCTGCTTGCACGTGCACAGGAAACCTAAGCAACCTAATTCCAGGGTACTATGTGGGAGCTGAAGCTGATAAATGTCGAGCAGCAGTTGGTCATACTGCAGTTATTGCAAAAAAAAAAAAAAAAGAGAGAGAGAGAGAGGATGTTTGAGGAGGTTGAGTGTACAGCTGAATCTGTCAATGAGGAAATTACAACATATCAACCACAGGGCTTGTGGTCTGATTTTGTTTGTTTGAGTCATGGTTACATATTTAAGAAAAATGATGATCTAGCTATGCTATGGCGTAGTTTGGACGTAGGAGTGTGAAGGCCTTACTGTGAGGTGGTCACAGCTAGTCTTGAACAAAATGCTCAGAAGTGAGTTATACTAAGACTTTTAGACTCTGAGCCCAGCTGAAGATGAAGATAAAGAAGTGTTAAAGACGAGCATGTACCGTTAATAACCTCTTCCACTGCTGTCTCAACAGGCAGGATGTTCTTCTCCACCAGCTCCATGGGTCCAGGCCGCTGGGCGATCTTCTCATTGAGATCATCTGCCAGTCTAGCTCTCTTCAGCATCATCTGTGTGGCCTGCAGGGAGGGTTCAGCCTGCGACTCTGATAAATACACAGAGAGAGGGTCATCAGCTGTGATCCACCCAGCGTCAGACAGCCTCCTAACAGCTTCGTCAAAGTGACTCACTGCAGGCTCTGCTGGACCTCACAAAGTAGAGCCAACCTCAGACATTTATCTGGCTCCAACTTATTAAAACAAATCTAAACAGGAAATAAGTGTTATTAGAGGAGTAAGCTCCTTACTCATCTCTACAATCCAATAGGAACACACAGGACGACAGTTACCTTGTAGGATGTGCATTCGAACCAGCTCTGTGCGGTCAGGTCGACTGCAGAGTTTATGTTTTAGGAAATTCCCGGTCTGGAGGGAAAAAAAAATCTGGTGTTAAAGAGGGACATAATCTAGATTAAGATGATAAATGAGCTGCAGCATGATGAGGGCTTACCCTGGCTCTCTCCAGGCTGCGAATCTGCTCATGAAAGGCAGCAGGTGTCTTCAAAGCTGTGAAGAGGTGAATGAAGAAAATACTTCACTTTTAAGGAAAAAAACTGATTTGAAATGAACACATGATACAAAGGAGAAGCAGATGACAATGGCTGAAATATTCCCTTGCCCTGATTCCTGTGTAAAGTTATGTGTAATGAACGTTGCATTGAGTTTATAATCTGGCTTTTTTTTTTAAAATACTTCATTATAGTTGATCAAAACTCCATAACACTGGTGATTAATTCCAGTGTTTTAACTTCCTGTTGACACTGTTACTAAAATGGCAACAGTGAACTAAGGAACACAACACAAGCACAACAGTGGACACAGGGCCGAAACTTTTTTACGTTTTAACTTTAAAAATGTCAAATCAAAAGGACTCTTCTGTGAATGAAAATCTAAGTTTAGATCAATACATTTTCCTGCATACAGACTGATAAGAACCCATTCATCATTTTAAAATTAATGAACACCTGTTTTAATCAATAATGTACTTTTATATGACTGATCATTGACTGCTATTGTTCAAGATGTCCTGTCAGTGTTCAAGCCAGGTTTATTACCTTTGTTATTAAGCTGCAAACAAAATGTCGAATCATCCTAGTTTGATTAATATTAAACCTGCTGAAATGATGAAGAGGTAAAAGTAACAAAAATGGATAAAAAGTATGATATTACTGTTTTCTTTGCCCAATTTCATAATTTTTCTAGTAAAGAGGACTGAAAACTATTCTTGAATGCATTCCTGTTATGCTCCGATATTTTGGCTCTTGTTGTTTTGCACGAGTGCGGCATTATTTAGCAGGAACTCATGGGAGTCAAACGGGAAGTGCCTGCCCGCCTGACTCAAGCAGTGAGATTGTTCAGTGCCCATTTACTTTGACCTCACAGAATGAACTCACTCAGCTCTAAAAGGCACCCGGCTCAAAAACCAGCCACCTCTGCTATGACGAGCACTGTTTGCTTTGAGGACACTCAGGCGAAGGGGAAGTGTGACAGCCGAGTGAAGTAAAAACATTCCTCCTCATCACCTAAATCCCACTGCATACCTCGCTTAAGCCTGAAAGTGTGGGAGCAGCAGAGAATGGCCCAGGAGGTTTGTGTGCAGGCCACAGAGGAGATGACTGACCTCCTGTGAAGGCTCAGTCGCTGACTCATGGGCCTGTTTGGAGCCAGAGAGGAGCTGAAAGCGTGACTTTCTCCAGGGAGACCAGGACAGAAAGAAAGAGCTTTGTGGCTCTCTTTGTCCATCTATCTCACTATCAGTGTGTTTCTGTCTAAAATTCAGTTCATCTTTTATCTGGTGAGGCAGGGGGACTGAGTCTCTTCCCCTTTTGTCACATCAAAGCATGGCTGGTTTCGACGTGGAGCTGCTCATCATCTCTCTGCTTTGGTGGCCATTTGCTGTTTGATCATTTGTAATGTCCACATGACTCCAATTATAAGACGATGGAGTATCTTTCACTCACAGTGTGAAACCATCCTCATCCTAAACAAGTGGTGGGTATAGCTAGGAAGACGATGAATATTGTACGGCATCAACAACTTTTGCAACAAAGCAATTGAGAGCTAGACTCAGATGACAGTTTTTGCATTTTTATCAGCGCTCTGTGTAAATGAGCGGCTGTGCAGACATCTTTGCTGCATCTATTTCAAAAATTATCCTCCATCTTTAACCCCAGTTTTATTCATCTACTTGACATTTCCTGCTGCAATTTCACATCAAATTGCTGCAAATCACATGAATATTTAATCAGGAAAAAGTTGATCAGTGGTTTGCATTCACACATGCACCTCATCCTTAAAAAAAGAGTTCTGTGAATGCATGAATACATCCCAAGTTAAAGTCTTAAAATTTATGGAGTCAACCTGCTATTTAAAACACTGTAATTGCTAAGCAGCAGCCTCTGGTGTGGAAAAGCAAAGCCAGTGCATAAGTGCAGAAAACCACAGTTACTCAAGTGTCTCTTTGTGGCTGGAATCTCCATTCCAGGTCATGTAAAGAAGACGTTTTTACAGCAGAGTTTAACATGTTTACAGCCTGTTGTAAAACAGGTTTGATCTCTATTGTTAATTGAATTTGTTGTAACTGTGCAGGGATAATGTTTTTTTTCCCTCTTCTAATCAGTTTTGATTATATTGAAGTTAAAACTTTGTCATCATCCTCTCTGGTTTCCAGATTAGCGGAAAGTTTTAGCCAGAGTCAGCATTTCCTGTAAAGCTTCAGTCTCCTGGGTTCATGTGATATGTCCCGTAAAAGCACTCAAAGTGGTTAGAATACTAAAAAAATGGATATAAAACTCTATTAGGCATTTTATTTGAGTGTAAGTTTTTAAACCTGAATAGACCAGAATAGCCTCAAAAAAGTAAGCAGAGGAAAAGCAGACCTACGCATGTGGCTCTAAATAAGGGGGGTGTCACAAAAGACAAGATAATAACATGACATTTGCCTCGAAAAAGCTCCTGAAAACGTATTTTTAAAGACAAAATTAGAAAAAAGAGTTTGGTATCCCATTACTTTGCAGTTCTTCTTTCTTTAGGTGTTTTGTCCATCAACCATGATCTTATTTAAAGTTGTTTTAAGGTGAGAGTTTGTTAATACCGGATGTGATGTGAATACTCACGTGGCATGATGCCTTGCTCCACAAGCTGCTCTCGAGTCTTCCTCTGCTGCAGACAGAGCTGGAGGACTGTGAGAGTGAAGAGGAGACACAGAGGTCAAGGGTTCGAGCTTTTACCGATCAGAGCCAAGTCTGCTGAGTCAACTGTGAACCATCATGCAAGACTTCCAACTAAACAAAGCACTTATTATTCCTCAATCGATAAAGTGGCCTCGCAGTAAACCCTCTCCACCACCGCAGACATCCTTTTCGCCTCCTATGTGGTTTTATCTTTGATTTTTAAGGTACCACAAGTTTGACAAAAGTTACAGAGAGAAAGAAAGAGAGAAAGAGAGTCAATATCCCTGCATGGCATGCAAATACACAAAGACGTCCAACAAGTAACCGCAGCTCAAATACAAGCAGATGAAGTGGAAGTAACTTTCATGCATACGACTGTATTGTGGATCACATTAGGCCTACATTGTCCCCACTGTATTCATCACAAGCAAAGTAGCCTGAAAGTAGACTTACTAAATGGCTCAGGGGAAACAGTTCACTCCCACTAACATAGAAACACACACACACACACACACACACACACACAACCCAGACCTGCCCGACTCTCCTGGGAAAGGCACTGCGTCTGAACAGGCCTCTGTGACTCACTCTAGCAAAAATAAACTGGGCAGCTGTGAGAACAAGGCCTGGGAACTATGAAATTGGGGGGTAGTGAAGGGGGTGGGATCTTTAGTAGTATGAAGAAATGAGGGGACGTCTATGTGCTTCCACTGGTGGGCAAGGGAACCAAAAGTGACAAGTGCTGAAGCAAAAGAGAGGGAGGCTAAAGTCTCCCCTCAGAGCAGCTCAGAGAACACAGTGTGCCTGCTCTGCTTGATATGTTTCCGACTCCAAACCCAAGCCAGGGGGGTGTTTGTGGTCAGTCTGAGACAGAGATCAAACCGGGAGATAGTAAATAATGGACATTGCTTTGTCTCATTGTTCAGATCCTCTGTGTTTGGGAGAAAATGCAATAGCAAAGACAGTTGAGAGGACAAAGCAGAATGTCAATAACATCAAAATCTGCCCTTCAGGGTTTAATTTGAGCTCTAGTTTTCGGGGTTCACCTCATGCCCCGGTCCTCCTCAATTTATGACATCTTGTGCTGACTTTGAACCCTGGCTAACCTTCCTGTGATGCAAACTGGCTCTGCTCTCCTGCTCACAAGCAGAGTGTAAACAGAGGTGGGGAGAGAGAGAGAGAGAGAAAAAGAGGGTGAGGACTCATCTGAAATCCCTGCCCACTGATGTAATCTCTAATCTAAGACCCACGTTGTTCTCAGCAAATCATCCCTGGAGGTCTCCCATCTGAACTTTTTGTATTTGCCTTTTTTTTTTCTTTTCCTAATCTTTTTCAGGAACAGTTCCAAAAACCTGTTTGGTGTGACTTCAGGTGCTCTTGCTCAAACAAAGCTGAAACTAGTTAAGAAACAGGCTGACACTCAGTCTTGTTGATTTTAATATAAACCATCACTTACTCTGAAAAATCTAGTTTTAGCAAAGGTGGGGGTGCTTTTCACTGGGGACCAGCAAGGGCCTGTGTCCATCCACCAACCTTCATGTTGACAGCCCCTACAACTGCATTTTTGGAGTGCATCTCATCAGCTCTTATTGTTGCAATGTGCAAAAGTTGCGTCGCCCAATAAGCTTCAAATTTGGTAAATGGAATTTTACTAAGAAAACATAACACAGTTGACAGAAACTGAGTTACAGTGATAGCAGCATTTCTGGACCCAAAATTGTCTCTACAAAAACAAAAGTGGTTAAGCAGTTTTCAACAGAGAGCTCTAGGATAAAAACAGCTGATAACAAGGGCATTTTTACACTCAAGACACTGATCACTGAAAACAGTAAGCGCTAAAAGTTATGTGGACACAGGCCCTAAACTTTGAATGTTAGGATTGTATCTGTTAGTTGTAAAGGTCATCACAAAATCCTGATGCATTTGTCTAAAAACTGACACAAACTAGGCTAAAAAGAATTGAACATAAATCATTCACATTTTTAAAAACTACATGATTATTCACTTAAATCATGAAAACAGGCATTTATTCGCATATCACAAGTAGTGTGAGTACGTCTGCTTTTATCTAATAACTGGCAGTACAGGCTTTTTCGCATTAAAAGTCTAGGCAGTCTGAGACCCTCTGCTGTAAAGCTCATATTTAACCACACCACAGTTGTGGGATATATTTTCCCACAGCACAAGATTTCAAGTTAAAGTTAAAGTGGTGAGAAAACCCACGAGGTATCTTCCCAATGAGTGGGTGTTTCCTTAAACTCTGCACTGCTAAATTTGTACAGCGCTGGTTAAAAAAGTCACAAATGGTTAGGTTGTAAAGTAATTAAGTCACAAACCAATCTGTGACTTAATTACAAATCATGCAAATCACAAACCAATTCGTAGTTTGCATAAAGTCCTTCTCTGTCGTTGAAAACAAATGTTTTTGGAACTGTTTATGACCACCATTAGTAACTGTTGATCACACCGTGGTCTGGTGATATCGCTTAACTCTTAACATCTTTATGTTCAACAAAAAGCTGATATATCTCATAGCAACACAAACTTAAATCCATCTTTTACCACAGTTTCTAATACCAGCAGCGGCCAGGGGTGTGCCCAGTAGGGGGCCAAAGATGGGGGGGAATGGGCCCTTGCAGAATCTCTTTAGGCACAGCCTTTCATATACATTTTTTTTTAACCAAAACAATTAAGCCTAGAAAATGTTAATGTTGCAAATCTATTGTATTACTTTAGAAATTTTTTAACACAGGAAAGAAACTTGAATATTATTGATTGGAATAGCAGAGAAAAAAAAACAAAAAGGTGGACAAATACCTTTTGTCGGTTTGTGCGAACACACAAATGTATTTCTTACAACACACCTATGTAAGAAAGTAAGTGTACCTGCTTTACAGGTATGAATTTATGCTTAAAACTCATCACAGAAGTGATCCAACACAAACATACTTTAGACAGTATAAACTAATGAGTCATGTGTCTGTAATCTCCCTCCAGCAGACTCTTTTGGCAGCTTTTCTAAGCAGTTTGATTCATTGACAATTACGTGACAATAGTCTCTCCTGTAAGGAAGATGCCTGAATCATGATGATGAGCGTTAGTGCTACCCTGTCATTTCCTGTTAGGGCTGCAACTACGTCACTACAACCCCCCACTACTGCTGCTCACATCTGAAGAGATCAACAAGAGTCAACAAAACTTTACGGAGGTTAACAAACAAGACAACAAAGTGCTTCAGAGTTAGACAGAACAAAATAAAAGCACCTGATTTAAATTTACCCCTGCAGATGGAAGGGGTCTCCACATCAAGGCAGGCCATGGAGGACAGAGGTGGTTTGCTGGGCGGCCAGGTCTGGAGTCCCATGGAGCGAGGAGGCCAGTGGAGGACTGGGGGAGTCCAGGAAAGTAAAGATCCAGCTCTGAACGGAGGACAGCTGGCTCTAAGGGCTGCACACAGTCCCTCCTCTCCTCTCTGGCTGTGTGCTAGCCTCAGCGGGGAAAGTGTGTGTGTGTGTATCTGTGTCTGTGTGTGTAATTGTGTGTTCAGTCAATGTCAGGCAGGAGGAGGGAACACAGAGCTGCTCGTGTTAACCCTCGCTAGGTCAAAAGACTCATCAAACTACTGCTCAAAACCCACAGGAACCGTTGACATTCTTCCTCAGCAGGGGACCAAATCCTTGACTGGTTACCAATGTAAAGTTGATCAAAACAAGCTGTTGGGAATTCTCCATGAGAAACAGTTTCAGGGTTTTTTTTTTCCTTCAGAAATTTCTGTGGCACTAAATAACAAAGACAAGAACAAACACAGTGAGTCCTGAGGGAAATAAAAGGTTATCAGACAAAAACATTTTTTCATTATTAGTTATGAGTTTTCACAGAGTTATAAATCATTTCAATGCTGTTTACTGCTGTAGCTATGCTCATTTTAGCAGCAAATGCCAATTTCAATTCATAGCATCAATTGAAGCTAGCTCTGCGCTTTGCTGTAAGGTCAGGGCGACTTCTTAGGAAGTTAATTTGTCGTCATCCAGGCTTGAGAATCTAAAACGTATCATGAAATGAGGCAAACATAAGGTCAATGAGGTAAACCCTGACAGGTAAAACCTGGAACAATTTGTTACAAAAAGCAGTGCCAGTGCTGGACATGTCAACAAGACCGTAAAAATACAAGAGTGGATCTGGAGCATATACAGAACATGAAATAAGAAACATCTCACCTCATATCACAGAGTTTGTAAAAAAGAAAAACAACATCATTCTTTTCATGTGTCGCAAGATTTGGCAACAGGGATACAACAGTGATTTATATGCATGTCTTACACACCTGTTTGATCACATACTCTGTGCTTTTCTCTCCTCATCTTAAGTAACAATTTAAAAGTCTAATCTCCCATTTTAAACGACAAGGTGGCTTTTATCAACTCAAGATGTGCTACAAATATTCAGAATCACTTCTTACATTGAGATTATACAGTTTGAAATGTAACATATGTTGAGTAGCATAACAAAGACTCTGTACTGACTGTTATAAATAGCCGTTTCAGCTTAGTGATTATTACCGTCATTACAGTATTACATCCATCTGCTTCCCACCGGCCAGCTGTTTCTAGTTCTCTGTTCACTTGATAATTACTCACTTTAAAACCTAAGTGAAAACATACGAGTTCACAGTCACTAAGCACTGTTTCTTTCATGATGCATGTTTGCTGTGTGGAAAGATCAGGTTTTTTAATTTCACATCACTGTCCCATATGTCCCAACAAGTATGAGGAAAACTGTGTTTATTCTCACACCTGTGGTTCTGTTCCCTTTGTTCTGAGCAAGTCAAGCGACTCCAGTTTCTTTTGTGTCTGCGCTGATTGTTCAAAGTGTAGGGGCACCGGCTCTATGCCATGGGGCACTAACTCACAGACTTCACAGATGGTTGTACAACTCAACCATCTGTTAATGCCAAAGAAAGAACAGATGGAAATAGAAAGAGACAAAGATTACTTTTTCACTGTAAGGTAGCAGTTGGTACATAAGCTGGTTACTCACTCTTTTTGAACTTTTTTTTTTTTCTTTTTACATGAACACAAGTAAGTATTTTGCATTTTGATGTGTTTTTTTTTTAACCACTAAGATGGACAAAAACAACAACAACAAAATCAATACTAAACCCAATCTGATTCTTAAAATGTTTTTACTCGGTCCATCTCAAGTAGACTGTGTGAAGTAGTTTGCCATATGATCCAGCAGAGGGCACTCTGATCGTAACCTGGCCTATCCACAACCTCTTGACCTCAGTACCCTGATACAGTAATTACACTCTATAAAAGTGGAGGAGCGGTTAACAACGACACCGAAACATCTGTGTGGAAGTGTTCTGGGTTGTGCACCATAGATGGATAAATGAGAGAGCTTTATGTCGATTTCATGCAAAGCAGCTGTCAACTCGTCAACAACGGCACATTTGCAGGCTCGTCCACCATCAAAGCTGCGCAGCATTAAATGTTTAAGAGCTTTTCTATGGCACGCCAAACAGCTCATAAAAAGGCCATCAATGATAAGATTGCAATATCTTTTTAATTGTATTATATAGTATACATTATCTGTTTGTATGATGTAATCTTATATGTTGAAAATGTAGAAACCAGGGCAGCTTGGTTAAGACCTACCCTCCCACACAAGTTTCAAGCATTAAAGTTACTTTGTAAAAGTTGTCCGTCAACCTCTTTTTTGCTTTTATTTATCATGAAAGGCATTGATATGAATTTCAGTCAGTTTCATACACATAAAAAACTCTTTATAGGAGCTTGAAGTTCCTTTTCACGAAGGAGGCTAAACATTTTTAAGTGTGGTAAATTACTGATTATGCCTTTAGATTTTTTCCAATCGTATAAACCATGTCTGTATTTCAAATCCAGCTAATAAACTACTGCAGTGAAGTATCTGCTGTAATCCTCTCATTATCTTTCCATTTGGCGTGAGTTTTTGTCACAACACAAATGAGTGTTTCTCAACACTTGTTTGCTGTTTGCTTACCAAGATTGATAAACGAGCACACCGCTAATCTAATGTTAAAATATTAGTTTAACAGTTGATATGTTGCTAAAATCCCGTATCTCCTATCATAACACTCTGTGTCTGATGTAATTTGCTTTCACTTCCCAAATAAACCATACAAGTGTGACCCTACCACCACCACCATCGCACACACACAAACACTCGCTCCCCTCCTTCAGACAGTCTTGGTTGTTTACTCTGAACCAGAGTCTTCTTGCATGACTTCGGTTTGGATGTTAATCTGCCGTGAACAACATTCATATGACACATAACTATTTTAAACCACTGGGAATAGACCAAAGTAAACAAACATAGCTAACAACATGGGTTAAAAGTAAACAGAAGAAAGGTCAGAGCTTGTTTTGCAGCTTTCTGCCTTATTCCTCCTTATCAATAAAAAAGATGAAAAGCATACATCAGCAAGGAAGGACAAAATGTGTGTTGCAGAGAGCCAGGAAAAGTGTTAGTTATGCTTTTCCAGTCTTATCCAAAAGTTCCAAACTGCAGCCAGGGACTTCACAACTCCAACTTATTCCACCCATACTCCAAACTGTGAGTGCTGCAATAACTCTGGAGAAATTATACCACATTTCTCACACTTTTCTTCCTGTCAGAGGTCTTAGAGCTCTATTTTTGTCCTACACAAAACTAAACCACACACAACAGTAAGTGAACTGGTTAAAAAGTTTTCCAAAAAGAGTGAAATCAGAGAACTGTTTCCAATGAAGCATATCTACTGATGTCCCAGAAATGCCAAAGCTCCATCATAATAATTAAATATTTAAATATCATGACCAGATTTGGAGAATTGCTTTGTATGAGGTCACCAAAGAGCAGACATTGAAAACCGTGTAAAGGCATCAAGTCAAAATACGTCTACAAATTTAAGTTATGTTTGAAAGCAACAGATTTCAATGACGTAATAAGACAATAGGGCTTCGCTGATAACACATAATGTTCCCAAGGGAAAATGTTGGTTCCAATAACTGCTTAAATACCGTGATTATATAAGCATCCAAAAGCAACTCCAATCCAATTCCTAATATAACTGCACAAACAAATCACTCAGAAAAGTCTGTCTTGCTCTAAAATGGTCAACGCACAGTGAATGTGACCAAACTCTAAGGCTTTGGTCACGGATTCGGGCCCAGGTTATGTGCACACGCCAACTGCACTCCATAAAGTAACACAGTGCTGCACAAATAGATTTTCCTTGACCCTCCATGACTCCATGACTAGGAGAGATTTTATAGATGTTAATGGTGTTTATGGCACCATATATCGTCTATCTGCGTGTGTCTGTTATAGTTGTTTATTGACAATAAATAGATATAAATATTCCAAATAAAGATACGCATGGGAAAACAGAGATATCAAGTTCTCAAGGTAGCTTAGTGTATATCTAAGAGATGATATTGTTGATTTATGGGAATATAAATTGTGTATTTATCTATCTACAGCACACCATAGGATCCTCAATGTACAGTCAAATATTTAGACTTTATGTTGATGTGAAACCTGCGATGTAGTGACAGTGGGATGAGTAGTTTCTGTGACATGGAGCCAAACATTAGCACAGTTCCAGTTTGGGCCTCCCCCTCTAGATGATAATCTCTGTAATTAGGAGCTGCAGATTCCCCCAGGGTTGACAACGCCATCCTCATCTCTCCCATTACAAAAGTGTAACGGTTTTTAGCGAGGAGTTGAAAAGCCGGCTCTTCATCACAATGAAAAACAGAAATATGCATCAAAGTCTACAGAGTGTGGCGGTTATTACACGATGCATACAACTAGGAGCTAAAACGTAGAGCTATCCATTAAATTACAGGAAGGGCATGTGCCTTGAAGGAAACAGAGCGGTCTTTACCACTGCAACAATGTGCTCACCTTACTTTTACCACTCTATTTACAGCATTTTGCTAAATGAATCACTGTACACTGATTTCTAGATTATTTTATTGACTTATAATGATTGAAAATAACAAACTGATAACATTATACTCAACACAAAGGATAAAAGCTAGATGTCATCCTTCAAAATAAGCATATTTAGCTATAAGGACTCACATTAAACCAAACAGTTCTTAAAAAGAGATGCCTAAGCTGTTTTCAGGCTGATCACCGGTTATTATTTGACTGAAGGAAGGTCAGTTATATGGATAGAAACACAGTGCAAAATAAAAGTTTGTCTTACGTCAGGTGAAGTAGAGAAGTTACAAAAAAATAAGCTTTAATAAGCTCAGCTGAATTGGACTGAAACCAACATCCACAAGCCGCAACGTGAACTGATTTCTGATATAGAATTATTTATTTACACACAGTTTTCTCTGTAAAACAAACGACGATTCTGCAATATGAATAAAAGCCTGTTCTTGTTTATTATTCCTCAGTGTTACCTGCAGTGTCAACAGTGTCATAATGTTTTCATGGAAGATAATAAAGTCAAAATGCATCCCTACAAT